TTGCAAACACACTGTCTGCAGTTCTGTTTGTTTCTGAAACTCCAGGCGAACCCAGATTTGCTTCTAAGCAATTTTGAAGGAGTCACTCATCTCAGGAATCTCTCAAATCCCTCTGAATTAGCCTGATTTGGCTCAGGACTCACCTGAATCCCATACACACCCCTACTTATCAGCTTGTCTTAGATTTTTAGAGGAGGCTCCAAAAGGACAAATAAGGACAGGGTGAAAGGGAACTTTTATACATCCCACTAGAAGGGTTTCTTTTTGGGCAGAGGGATCCATGTGGCCTTGGAGGGAAATGTTCAGTGTGAAAAGAATGAAGAGTAGCTCCATCCCTGCTGACTGTGAATTTCTTCCTTCATACGATCACCAATGAAACAATCAATAGTCTGCAAGCTAAAAAGGTCAGTATCAATATTAAAACCCCAGGCCATCTTGCTCTGATGGTTTTGACATTTGCTCTAAGTATGTCTAAATTAACCTCTCTGCTGAGCATCACAAAAATACCTTTCTGTGCCTCCACGTCTGAACAATAGCTGATGTCCTTATGGATTCTTCTGAAAGGGAAGTAGTTGATGTGATTAAGATATACTGTTTTTTATGAGAGTCATCATACCAGTTCTATTGCTCTGCAGCTGGTGTCTCCCTGAAGCATTGGTGTGTATCACCAACTTCACTGCTTTAGGGCTTCTTTGGCAATTTGTTTGACCATTAAGCCTACAGAACCATACAGCCATTAACTCAGCTAAAAAGTTCAAGATCCCCCATATGGTCAGGAAATGTTGATGCTTTACTATAATTGCACTAAAAAAGTGAGGGATAATAACAAAATTTAGTGCAAATGAACTGTCCATCTGGAAACACCCTAAGTCACTTATATCCAAGTCTGGTTAAGCAAATTTAGAGTGTAGAGTTTGGGGGGTGGGTCATTTCCTCAGTAATAATCAAGTGTGCTTTGAATGCTAGAATCCTATGAAGTTATAGTTATGGGCACTTAGTTCCCTTCCAAAAAATGTTCTGGTGAGAGGGCCTATGGGTGTTGGAAACTGATGCAGAGGAACATAAATTTAAGTTACCTAAGACGTTTGAAGTAGGGTGTCGAAGGACGCAGGTGGCGCTGTGGGTTAAACCACAGAGCCTAGGACTTGCCAATCAGAAGGTCGGCGGTTCGAATCCCCATGACGGGCTGAGCACCCATTGCTCGGTCCCTGCTCCTGCCAACCTAGCAGTTCGAAAGCACGTCAAAGTGCAAGTAGATAAATAGGTACTGCTGTGGCAGGAAGGTAAACGGTGTTTCCGTGCGCTGCTCTGTTTCACTAGAAGCAGCTTAGTCATGCTGCCCACATGACCTGGAAGCTGTACGCCGGCTCCCTTGGCCAATAAAACGAGATGAGCGCCGCAACCCCAGAGTCAGCCACGACTGGACCTAATGGTCAGGGGTCCCTTTACCTTTACTTTAAGACGTTTGATGTAGGATGTCAGTGACTGGTTGAGGGAAAACCCTCTGTTTTCTGCTGTATTGGAACAAACATTTATTTGCAGAAAACTTGGCATTTGTTCTGATTCAGCAGTAACAATGGGTTTCCCTAAGGAAAGCGATGGCCCAAAAAGAAACCTCTCTGACCCACGACTAGTAATCATGAGACAAACAAATGTGTAGATGTACCCTTATTTATACAACAGCAGGATGCTAAACTGGAGGGAGATATTATACCACTTGAAAATCTCATCTGAGGGAATATCCCCCCCCCATTGCAAGAAGAAAGTTGACTTCTGTTGGCTTTTTTAAAAAACCAAGGGCATCACCTAAAATTCATTTCTACCCCTGCTTACAGAAGGGCTGCCTAGTTTTTCTTACCTCCTACATTCTACCTATTAGAGGAAAATGTATGTTTACCTAAGGTTGTAGGCAGAACTGAGAAACAGGTTGTTTTGCAGAGCTTGAGGACCAGCCATTATGCGTTTTCTGCTTGGCTATAACCTGAAATCTGCAATGTACCTGTGAAGGCCTCATTTGAATGTCTGCTATTCCCTCCCATACTCAATATTAAGACTCTTCCTAAATGCAGAGATGGATGACATGAGCTTGTGATTCTCAGAAACTGGAGTCAGGGCATGTTGCCTCCACCAAAGGAAATAGTAGCCATGGACAGCCTTATTCTCCATGAATTTTCTACTTGTCTCTTAAAGCCAGGCAAGTTGGTGGTTATCATTACTTCTTGTGGGAGTGACTACCATAGGTAATGAAGCTCCATGTCAAAAAGTACTTTATTTTATCTGTCATTAATCTTCCAACATTCAGCTTCATTGGATGTTGCTGAGGGAGAAAAGTTTTTCTCTACTCACTTTCTCCACAACAGGCACTATTTTATACACTTCATATCTCTTCTTACTCACCTTTTCTCTGAAGTGAAACTCCCCAAACATTATAAGCTTTCCTCATTGGGCAGTTTTCGATGTCCTTCATCATTTTGGTTGCAATGAAGGTGACTTCTAGGAATGTAGGAAGCTGTCTTACAACTAGTCAGACCATTGGTTCATTTAGGACAGTATTGTCTACAATGATTGGCAGTGCTAAGCTTACAGACAGACTCCCAGCGCTACCTTGAGATGCCAGGGATTAAACTGGGCACCTTTTACATGCAAAGCATGTAACTGAGTTGCTGCAACTGAGTTACAACCCTTCCCTATAGAAGACATGTAGACCTATTGACTCCCAGTTGTTTAACAACAGCAATGACAAGGCTCCCCTCCCACCATAAATCAAGGATGTCAAAATGAGAAAAAAACAAAAATGGATTGCTGTGTGAGAGAACTCTTGTACTGAGCACATGTGCAAAATAGGCTCATCATGTTGCACCTGACTCGGTGGATCTTGGGGTTCAAGTAAGAAAAAAACATATTAAATCCTGCACACTTAAAAGCCGGCCAACTCTGACCTAAGAGATGTAACAGTAAGGGCCAGAAGGAATGATCTTTTTTCAGTCACCTTAAAGCCTTAGGAATATCCAGTGGGATTTTGTTTATTTTCTTTAAATAGTTTGCCACAGTGCTTTTGGAAGCCCCTTCCTATTCAATATAATTTGCAATGTGACATGTGGAACGTCTGTTAGAACATAGGCCCAAAGTCCACTCAGACTTGTGAAACTATGGCTGCTTACACACCATACATTTAAAGCCTTGTTTCTCCCCAGTGAATCCTGGGAACTGTAGTTTGCCCCTCACAGGGATACAATTCCCAACATCCTTGACAAACTATAGTTCTCAGGATTCTTTCTTTTTTTGGGGGGGTGTACTTGAATTGTATGATGAATACACAGCCTAGGTATGCTGTTCAACCTCAGCCACAAGATATGCCCATGTTTTCTCTCCAGCTGGGTGCACACACATATACACACACATAACGATTAGTTATTTCTTATTCCATCTCTACACCTTTTTTTTTTTTTTGAGAGGCTTCTTTTCCTTGCTCCTGTCTTCCTGTTCCAAAATGAGCTCTATTTATTATGAAGATGTGCTGATAGGCTTGTCTTTTACAACTTGCAATGACTCAGTGCTCTTCCTTTGTAAAGTACTCAGCTACGAATACAACATCTGCACCCATAGTAAAATAACCAGTTTGTCCTGTGTCTAAACAAAAACAAAGCATTTCAGAGAGACCTGCCCCCAGCACATAAACAATTTTCATTGTCAATATTTTAAGTGTTGTATTAACAAATCTTCTTAGCTCAGACTACTGGATGATAAGTGAACCAGAGAAAGCAGCAGCCTGGCTAAAAGTAGCCAGGTAGCATATTATGAAAACTACATGGGTTAATATTGTCAGAGGGCAACAGAATTAAACTGACTGTATTTTAATTAATGTATAGATTTGAAGATGTTTCAATTACAAAAGTGTGGTAATGCATTAAACAACTTAATCACATTAAGCATTTTCTAAAATATAAATATATATTTTCACTTGTATATTCTCATTTCAAAGTTGGCAGAGATCAAATTCATTTATGAAACACAGATGAGAGAGCGAGATGTGTTTACCTTCTGCTTTAAAAAGTTTGATTTATTTCAGTAGGAAAGTAAAGCATGTGAATAGTAGCTACTATTGAAATCAATCTACACATATTTATATTTCAAATAACTGCCTCTGTCCATGGAGGCCTGGAAAACAGCCATCATGGGAGTAGTCATGTCCAGCTTCATTGGACATCCATACATTCTAGTGTTATGAGAGAGGGAGAACAACTTCCCTCTAAAAACTTTCTCTGTGTCTTACAAAATTTTATAAACACATGCCGCCTCTTATTAACCTTTTCTCCCTTTTTTATTATAATTTTTATTAGTTTTCAATTACAACAATCCAATAATAGCCTCATTATAACAACGCCAAATTATAATATAATTAATAATACCAATCATTGAGATGCCAAATTGTACAATATCCGTTTTGAGGTGAAACTATGAATGAAAGCAAGTGCTGATCCTTATGCACCAAAAGGACATTACCCATGCCCAAAATACATATATCAGCATGCTCAAATGTAATAATAATAATAATAATAATAATAATAATAATAATAATAATAATAATGTTTAAGGGGCCAAAAAGTGGCCATAGAATGCTGAGTGCATGTTGTTTAGGGCAGGGAAGATGACTGCAGTATCCTTGAGGAAGAAGAAGAAGAAGAGTTTGGATTTGATATCCTGCCTTTCACTCCCCTTCAGGAGTCTCAAAGCGGCTAACAATCTCCTTTTCCCTTCCTCCCCCACAACAAACACTCTGTGAGGTGAGTGGGGCTGAGAGACTTCAAAGAAGTGTGACTGGCCCAAGGTCACCCAGCAGCTGCATGTGGAGGAGCGGAGACGTGAACCCGGTTCCCCAGATTACGAGACTACCGCTCTTAACCACTACACCACCACTGGAAGTTATGGTAGACCGACTGGGACCTTGAACATGAACATTCCACACTGTAATAACAAAAAGGCAGGATTCTTTATTTTTTCAACTTCACTTTATTTTCAAAAACACATATAGCGCAACTGTAATTACTGCCCATGTACATTTCTATGCAACTGAATGTTAATTAAGTTAAGTTATGAGGCAGTCGTCTAGATAAAAAAGACCTGTTAAATGATCTGTCAGTTACCATAAATATTTTAATTTAAACATCTCTCTTTAATCTGGAGACATATAGTGATAGAGCTTAAGAAGTTATTTTGTACATGTTACTATAGGAGAATACAGACAACAATAAATGATTATTAGTTGAGAGATTTCAGCCTCTGGCCCTGAACAAACTAAAGTTATATGCACTTAATTCCCATTAGCATTAACGAGGCATGTTAGTCATGCTGAAGTCAAGATCTGTTGATTCCAATGGGATTTCAGCCCAGCTAACTTCTATTGGATTGGGGCCTGTGTCTCACCTAACTTGGTACATTGCCACCATCACAGCAGTTGAGGATCCTCTGTCACTTTATGAGAACAGATCGTTCATGAGAAGCCTAACACACTAATTTATTTTTTACAGAATTAAGTTGCAGAATAAATCTCGCCTGTTCCATTCCTGAAAAACTCATTCCCTTGACCTAAAACTCTGTGATGTACATATGACCACTTGGAATACACCAGAGTTGTTGGACAAGGATGATCATGTAGAAGTGAGTCCCAGACAAAGTTTACTTTCACATTGTGTGTTAGAAGGGCAGAGTCTAGCGACTTAATCACCACTCAGGCATACTGAAATCAGAATGCAAAGTTACATGCCAAGTCTGCAAACTTAAGCTTTGGGAGTAAGCCCTGGTAAATTCATTGTTGCATGGCCTATTCAGATAGATGTTTGGTGATAGCTCGATATCACCATGAAAGCATGGGTTACCCATGTTTCTTTCAATCACTGTTCCCAGTTTTCCAGTTTTGCACAAAGGCAAGAATTACACATCTCTTGGTTGCAGGGGATGAGGAAGAACAAGTTCTTCATTCCTCCTCTGTTGCTACTTTCATGAAAAGTACAAAGCTACCTTAGGTATTACCGGATTCCAGTGTATTGAGAGACAACGGCTGTGAAGTAGATGCAGATACCCTTCTGCCTACTTTTTTTTTAGTCATGTCTCACACTCTTCCCAGAGGAGCACACTACTTTTTTTTTAGTCTTGTCTCACACTCTTCCCAGAGGAGCACACCTTGGCAATATCTGGTTGCAGGTTAGGTTGTTTATTTGCATAACTCTAGTGTGGCTGCTCCCTATTCCACAAGTAATGAACAAATACAAAGACTAAGCTTCCTCAACCTCAGTCCTCCAGATGTTTTTGGCCTACAATACCCATCATCCCTGACCACTGGTCCTGGGAGTTGTAGGCCAAAAACATCTGGAGGGCTGAGGTTGAGGAAGCCTGACAAAGACTCACAAGAAAGGTAGAGAAGGGATGACAATGTTAAATTGGTTGACCCAGCCAACAAGAACATTTTAACACATGCTAGAACAACAACAAAAAAGTAGATGTAGGGAGGGAAGGAAACATCATGGAAGCGGGGTGAGAATCAACTTTTACATTAAATTTGAATTAATTTGATATTAATTTGTTAATTTTTTTGAAAAGCAATAAAAAGTAATTGGCAAAAAAATGAGATGTAGAAGAGTCTGTATGTGAAAGTTTGTCCTATTTCTTTCCATGGGGATGGGGAACTTGTGGCCCTCCAGACATTTTGACTCAAAATACCATTATGCTCAACTGTCAGGGATGGTGGGAGCTGTACACTACATTTTCAGAGCCACAGGTTCCCTGTCCCTCATTGCAGTATTCACTGAAGAAAGTCCCAATGTCTATCACCCTGCACCTCCCAAAATCAAGAACGTATTAACTCTAAAAATTGCAAAGAAGTGTGCATGGGGAGTAAAAATCAGTCCTTAAGTGTAGGTGAAATTTACTCAGTCAAAGAAGTCTACAAAGTTAATTATCACAATGTGAGGGCAAGAAGAACTAACAAACTGCAGCTTGTACAACATGAAAGACCCGAATATATAAACATAAACTGCAGGAATACATCAGACAACAAACTAATGAGAGATATTAACCTGTTCTTAATATTTGAGATTTGAGAATTACATTGCAAATTGCAAAAAAATAAAAAAATAAAATGTTCAGAAGCGTTAATAAATTACTACAAATCTATGATAGCTGGCCAGTAATTTATCTGTTTCCATTAAGAAATGATAGCTTAGAAAGCTCAATAATAAAGCATTTAATATCATGTCAAACAATACAGCCACATTTTTTTAAAAAAGGCAGTCAACTAAAAATTCTATATGAAAAATCTCTTCATAACATCCTGACCGTAGCCTGAAGAATTCAGAAAAAGGTTTTCCTTGTCAAGCTATTATTATTAGATTTATTAACCAACCTTCACCTTAAGGTTCTGGGGTGGATTACAATAACATAAGCAATACAAATTAAAACCAAACCATATTTTTTAGAAAGGTTTTATCAAGTGTCTTTTTCCAGCCATTTTGAAAACAAACAAACATCCCAATTAGAATGCAATGAATATAGCTTCTGTTTAGGCATTCTAAATATTTCTATTTTGTTGTTGTCTAAAAGCAGGCTTCTCACACAGGTGTTTCATCTGGCAGCCATGTACAGTAGCCGACCAGTTTTTTTTTAACAGATGGCATACATACTGCTTGAAGCCTGGGTCTAACATTTTGACAGGCCTGGTCTAAAATATCAGTTCAGGAGCTAACGAAATTCATTCTTGTCTATGTCTTCATGCCCAGGACCTTGATATTGGATACATTTTGTTGGACGTTTGCAGTAACAATAAGCAATATACCAAATAAAGGGTCCCAGGTCTTATTTCGTCCTGTGGCAGTGTAAAACCTATTCATTTTTGTTATGTAAAGCTTCATTTACTCTTCAGTTGAATAATATGGAGGAAAGATCTGTAAAATGTGCATCAGCTTCAGAGAGATGGAAGACCAATTTTTCAGAAGCAAACAATGGGTAAAGGTGCTCATAAGAAGCTACTGCAACTCAAAGTTGTGGAGACTCCTAAATATTGTTTTGTGCATAACAAAGTCCCAAGTACATTGTATATGGAGTTTGTGGTTCATCAAATAATTCCCTTTCCCCCTTCTATGGCTAGGCCTAACCCTACGTTTGTCAGCTTTGCTCTGCACACAGGGCAGGGAAGAGCTTTCAAAGGTTATAACATGTATAATATGATGTTCACACTGGTCTTTTATATGGTGCAGTGAACAAGGTTATCATCACCAGAGATGTTATAATGCATTGGCAGTGGGCTGTATGTAAAATACTGAGAAACAATACTTCACGGAAAACTGGTGTACAAACAGATGATGTACAAATGTATGCTGTATAATCCATAGGGTAACTGCTTTTCCTGATTTAGATTAAGATTTCAGTTCATCGCCATCAAAGTCTATTTGGTTTTTTTTTTTATTAAATGCCTCTGAACTGTCCTACAGGAACTTTGCTATTAGGCTGAACGGACTAAATTATTTCTATCAGTAAATTTAGAACATATGAGAATCAGCTATAATTTTTATTTCTATGACAAGGAGTTCTCTAACTCGGAAGCTCTTATGCCACCAGAACTTGGCCCCTTAAGAAGATACCACTTATCTACCTCATCCTAATGTTTCTCCAGGGCATTATATATTACTAATTTGTTCTCAGTAAAACAAGGACAGTTTTCAGCTATGTAGACAACAGCAAAGTCTCCCCTATTGCTGTTTCCGAGTCCTGACTGTGAGTGGAACTGATTCCAGTATCAGAGTCTGTATCATTTATGTCTAAACTAGTCACTTTGTGAAGGAGATCAGTCCCTGTAAAACTCTTGGTGGAAATTTCACTGTCCTTTGCTTGTTCCTCATTAGGTGTGTGCCTGATTTCACTTTTGGGCTTAGCATGCAAAGCATTAAGCTCTTCCACAATCAGTTCATACTCCTTTTCCTTCTTTTGAAGCATCAGGTCCCTATATTTTAACTCCTGCTGGATGCAGTTTAGTTGAGAATGGATCCTTAAGGCATCTTTCATGCTTTTCTCCAATTCGTTTTTGACACTTCCTACATCGGAACTCTCCATTTCCTCCTTAGGCAGTTCCTCTGTCCACATGTCTCCATTTCTTCCAGTGTCATTAACCTCTCGTTCAATTTCCGCAGAGAGCTTTTCAATAAGCTCTTTGTGGTGCTTTAGTCCTTCTTCCACTTGTAACAACCCCTCTCCTTTGCCTGAGCTTTCTGGCATCTGCTGGCTGCTGTGAGGCATGTCTGTTTCTTCTTCAGCATCACTGGATGTCGCCATTAAATAAGACTCCTGCACATAATTTCCTCCATCACCTTCAAGCTGATCTAGATGAAATTTGGCTTCACACTGTTCGATTTCTAGATCCAGTTCCTTCATTCTGTTGATTTGCTGGTGAATGGTGTGGTCCTGAGAAAGGATCAAGTGGATGAGAGTCTCTATGTTGTCCCTCTCTTGCAGGACTCCTTCTTGTTTAAGTTTGGCCAGCTTTCGGAAGGTTTTCCTAACAATCCTCTTTTGCTTGTCCACTGGCAACATCTTCATGTAATTGGCCGGGCTCAGGTCCCAGGGTTTTTCAAGATTTGGTACGAGCTTGGCTTCAGCTGTCCTCCACAATGGAAATGGGGGGAAGGCATCTGCCTTGACCAAGACAAAGTGCAAATTAGGCTGCTCTTCCCCCCAGGCTTTCCAGAGTCTCAGCATTTTAGTGAGAGGTGGAAGGACCCTCTCAGAACCTCTCCATTTTTCTATGATGCAGTAATCCTTGGGCTGTCCAAAAAGAAACTTCTTTTCTGCATAGGTGGCTTGATGTTCCTCAAGCAGAGCTTCAATTACTTGAGTGCAAGTTGTGCGCTTTGTCAATCCACTAACAATTTTCTCTTCCTGACAAACCCAGACCACAATTTCTCGCTCTGTAGAACCCATCTCTTTTTCTGGTGACCTGGAATTAAAGAAAGCAAATATTATACAGAGCACTTGCTATCTCTGAAGCTTTGAACATGATATGTATTTGAGGTGTTTAAACTGTGGGTGGATTTCAACCTTTTAAAACCATCTTGGAGGGTGGGGGTGAGGAAATTCACAAGTTCAAAGAGGTTATGGCTGTGATCTGCATGCTCATTAAAGCTACTCTTTATATTAACATACGGGAAGTAACTCTATGTAGTTTCACGTTCAATTCTTTATAGCTGTCCATGGTAGCTTGCTAGCTGATACAGAACAATTATGTATAATAATAATAATAATAATAATAATAATAATAATAATATATGCAACACTTCCTCCCAAAGGAGCCCAGGGAATCTTACAGAGGAAACTGCAGCCACCTCAGTTTCTGCTCCCAGACTTTGGAACTCCTTTCCTTGATAAGCTAGACTGGCTCCCTCCTTGCTGTCCTTTCGCCAGCATGTGAAGACGGTTTTATTCTGACAGACTTTGAGGAACTGGCTGGTTATTTTTTTTAAAGAAAAAGCTTTTAATAGTGTGGCACTGTTGTTAGCCATACTTTAATAGACTTGCTTTTGTATTTTTAAATTTTGTTATAGTTTAATTGCATTTTGACTATAATCTATGGTAGGTTTCTAGCTTTCTGTGTTAATTTTTGTGAGCCGCCTTGAATCCTGGTTCTGGGAGAAAGGTAGGAAATATATACATACATATATACATACAACCACCAGTAGCAAGCAGGGGGAGTGGGGTGGTCACCTACCCTGGGAAAATTGAATTTACCCTAGAGTGCATGGTACAGCACATAATTGGCATTTTCCAGACAAAAGCCAGGTCTGCTCAGCCTTGCACCCCATGTCCCATGGAGCTCAGTAGGACTTGCATCTGAGTAGACAAAGTTATTTTCAGTGGAACTTTTTCCAGAGTTCCCCCATTACTCAGAACTGTATTCTGACAGTGAAAGCTGCTGTGGGAACTTTGTTGTAATGAAGGCTGGAAATCTTTAAAATAAATAAGTGAATACATTTAAATCCTGAACGGGTATGTACAGTGCATTGACAGCTCTTTGCTGCACTCATTATGCCACCCTCTTAATGCAATGCAGCAGGATGGTGCATATGTGCTGTATGTGCAAGCTTACTCCTTTCTGGATTAGTGAGGCCGATATACTCCTCTCAGGAGTAGTGCTTCAAGGTAACAAGCTTTAATTTATTATAAGGCTGACTATACATCTACAAAGTTTGCAAAGGGTGCTGAGAGTTGCTAGGAGATCCCTATTTCCACCGCAGCTACAGTTCCCAGAATTCTCTGGAAATGACTGTTAAACAATTCTGATAACCGTAACTTTGTGATTCTCAAGAGAGGTTGTCCGCACTGAGCATTCTGTACATTGAAAGTGACAGACAGACAAATTTTGATGAAGTTTTGGGTGATTTTGTTTTAAGGAAGGCTAGGGAGAAAACATTTACCCTTACTGTATTTGATGGTTGTAGTTTACTTCCATTTTAAAACTAACTTTGTAATGACAGCATAAAGTAGTTTCTAAATGTGTCACGCTGTCAGGTAATCATGATCATATTATTTACACTTCCCAGGCAGTAATTTGTAAACTCATGGTAATTTTTTAAGGATAACATTACAACTTCATTTTCCTAAAAAAATATGCTTATTCCACAACAGGTTTACAAAGTTCAATAATTGCAAAAGTTTTTAGTGTTAATTCTATGCATTTTTTAAAATCACCATGGTTAACCAAAGTTAACAATAACATCTTATGTCCTTTAGAGGAGAAACTGAGAATTGCAGAATTTTAAATACCCATCATCATCCTTCGCTTCACTCAATTTTATTTTGAACGCTTCCATTTTCTTCTAGTCATGAGGGTGGGGGATTGGGGGGGGCTCTCTTCATCTAAATCTGGCTCTGTCTGTGAAGGGAATAGGGGTCTCCTAACAACTCTCAGCACCCTTAAAAAACTACATTTCCCAAGCTCCTTTGGGGGTGTAGTGGTTCTAGGGGTTGCTCGTGCGTAAGCCGGTGCAAACACCTGGCTGGGTTGCCTGAGTGAACCTTTTCTGTCCGGACAGCCACTCACCCGTGGCTGTCTCAATCGCTGGCAGAATCCGTCAGTGGGCGTTTCTTAAACTTCTTCCAGCAAAGAAGCTCTTTGACGCCTAGTCTCCTCCTACTCTCTCTGCACGAAAGCCTTCTGCGCAAGGAGGGCGTAGGCAGCGGAGGACCCCTACTCTCCTCGCTGGTCCCCGGCAAGGAGTCATGGGACCGCCTCGCCGCTTCCCCCATCTGCCCCCCTTCTCCACTGGTGCTACGCTGATTCTCTTCCCCAGAAGATGGGCTGCCTCTCCCAATCCCAGGACGCTCTCTGGAATCCCTCTGGATTTTGCTCTCTCCCTCCGGCACTGATGGCAGTTCCCTGACAGGGGGGAAGCCATGTAGTAGTGCAGATGGAGTCAGGGAGGGGAAATCCTGAAACAGACCAATGATTTAGCATGTTAAATGGACACAGAATGCTGGAGGTGGAGGGAAACCAGAAAACTAGGAGGGAAGGGGTAGATGAAATGGAGTATCTTGAAAGAGGGCTTGGCCGGCTTGCTCTAATCCTGAACAGAAGCACTCCACAGCACAATGCTTCTCTGCAGGCCCCCTTGTTAATATTTGATTCTCAAACAAAGTAGCTGACATGGGACCTCTCCCAGTCAAAAGGTCTGTGGAAGGCTGCAAAAAGGCTGTGATTGAGAGGTTGACAGTTGCAAGCGGTTGTTAACCTACAAGAGAAGTCAGCTTGACACAGGTCGAAGTTTAGAAATGTGAAAGTATACCAATACATTTCTCTCAGTACCCACTCAATTTACCCCTCCCTCACACACAAAACACTGGGAACTCAAACAGTGCACACTTGTAACCCTCCTCCCACCTGTTCTGCACGCAGTCACATTTCCCATTGTTATGCTGTGCCACACAGAATACACTCCCCCATCCCGTTGGCTTGCTATCCAGAACTAACATTTAACTCCCTAGTTCCCATGCTGCCTTAAGGCTGTGCTGGCTGCTACATAATATTGGTAGCAGCAGCCTAATTCAGCAGGAAAGCTGCAGGGATTGGGGAAGGGTTGGTGTGACTATTAAAAGTACACTTTCTCAAATGTACCAAGTATTTTATAGTCTGAATATTGTATATTTATGTTTGGCATCAACAGAATTTAAAATGCGTGAAGCACACAGGAACTCTGGGAGCTGCTTTATACTAAGTTCATCTTAGCTCAGTTGTCTGCATTGACTGGCTGTGACTCTCCAGGTCTCTTCCAGGTGTACCTGGAGATGCTGGACACTGAACCTGGAACCTTCTGCATGCAAAACCACTGCATGCTCTACCACTGAGCCACACACCTTTCCTTGTATTTTTCACTTTTCATCCTGTTTAATGTTGATAACAACATCATGGTAGTATTGTTGTTTTGCTGATTGAAAAAAGAATGAGTTAGTGACTGTGGGTGTCACCATTGGGTGGCCCCAGAGATCTCAATCTTTTGCAGGAAGCCCTAAATATAGCTTGGCCTCTACAGTGAATGGGAGAGAATTTCCCAGAGCCTGAGAAGGTTGACAAAAGGGACAGAGAGCAAGAAGCCAGAAGAAGAAAAAATTAGTTTGTTGTCCTCTCACTTTTTTATGCCTCAAGAGCTGTGTGTTCTGGGGGTAAGGATAATAAAATCCTGACAGAAACAGGTCAACGTTAGTCCCAAGTCTGGAATGGAAATCAGTCCAGCAAATATGATCAGTATTTGCTGCTGACGCTTTCTTTCCTCAAATGATACAGATTGTTTTACGTCTCCCACATCCCATTTGTATTATGTTACCCATGCATTGAAATGAATAGGGTAGATTAAACATAATGGAAACAATAAAAAAGGGATTCTGGATATTTGGGTGACATCTGTGTGGGCATGAGCCAATTGTGCCCAAGTCACTGTGGATCAGACTATTCCCAATCCATATCCTTTTTACATTTGTCCATTCCATCTCACTTTCACATCCATCTATGAGAGTGAGGCCGAGGAGGGGCTGGCGCCGCAGCATTTAGGCTGCTGTACACGCCCCCTCGGAGGCACCTGGTTGGGTGCCTGCCGATGGGCGTGGGCGCCAGCCAGGTGAGTGGGAGGCAGGGGGCTAACGCCCCCTGCTTGGGGCGGAGCTCGGGCTCCCGCCCACAACCACTCCCCTCTCTTCCAGGAGGAGAGTCTTTTTAAAAAAAAATATCCATATTTAAATCCACCTTTCTTTGAACAGAGAGCTGCATTGTAGCATTTCAAGACACACAAAAGCCAATGGATAGTACTATATGTTCCATTCCACATGTTTGTCTGGGAAGTACAGGTCATGCCGTCAATTCATATTGCAATTCCAAACAGCAAATTCCTCAGGTATTCCTAGAATTCTGCTGCATATAGAGCCAGTAGTTGTGACACACATTCACATCAGAGACTCATTGTTTTTATGCAACTCATTCGAACAGTCATGAGCCATCATGGAGGTTTTGCTATGAAGAAAAATGAAGTGTTGGAATGACAATCATTTTGGCAAAGTATAGTTCTGCATAGATATAATTGTGAAACAGTAAGCTGCAACCAATGTTAGTCATACTCAGAGTAGGCCAATTGGGTGATTTTTAAGTTTTATTCAGAATAGATCCACTGAAATTAATGGTCCTAACTTAGTCATGTTAATTACTTTCAATGGGTCTACACTGTGTAAAACTTAGTTGAATACCACCCAGTGAAATTAATGGACACGATTAATTCAGACCAATTAATTTTAGCAGGTCTATTCTAAGTAGAACTTAGTTGCCTACAACCCAGTGATACTATTTTATTTTTACAGCTATCAATTTAAGTACATCGATTCATAACATAGGGAAAGGAAAGAGTGAAAGACCCAGTCCGACAACATTATTTCTGAATGTGTCACCAGATACAAAATAAATATCTGCCACCTTTTGGGATGTTTACATAGCCCGAGATGCCATAGAAATGCCATTCTGAGCTCACAGACTGGCTGTTAAAATAGAACGTATATATAAATTGCAACAGAGGCAACAGGTGAGCACTAAATGTCAACAAATTCTGAGCTGTATTTGCCTTAAGTTTCAGCAATCATAAAAAGTTAGTCCCACAAATGGAACAGATTTTCCGAAGGTGTTTGATATTCTGTGGCTAAAATGAAAAGCAAAGTAACCCATGATGATTATGCACATTAACACAAGAGTTATCAAGTACAACTGATAGCTTTACAAATAACTAGCAGGTGCTGATAAAAAAAGAGAAAGGAGCGGTCTACCAGGAACCATTCAGCTCTATGGAACTATTTGACACCTGTTTGAAATCTCACCTACATATACCTGACCACAGCAGAAGTGGTCAACCCTTCTATTTTATCTAGTATTGATTAAGATAATAGTACAGGCTGCTGCATTGATACAGAAATCCTGCAAAGCTTCGGGGAGGATATTCTGGATGCCAAGATTTCTATGGGCTTCTATGGCTGAAAAATATGGAATGCCACCCCACACCATGTTCCTAAACATTTATTAATATTTTTCTCTGCTGCACAAATGAATCCATTGATGATATTGTTGTTAATTTAACCTAGGTCATTTCCATTTGGCACATGTTTTGAATATTCATAGTACAGTGGTGCCCCGCAAGACGAATGCCTCGCAAGACGGAAAAACCGCTAGACGAAAGGGTTTTCCGTTTTGAAGTTGCTTCGCAGGACGAATTCCCCTATGGGCTTGCTTCGCAAGACGAAAATACCTTGCGAGTCTTGAGATTTTTTTCGCTTTCCCCCTTTATCTAATCTGCTAAGCCTTTAATAGCCTTTAATAGCCTTTTAGCAGCTAATCCCCTAAGCCTTTAAGCCTTTAATAGCCGCTAAACAGCTGATAGCGCTAATAGCGCTAATCCGTCAATGGGCTTGCTTCGCAAGACGAAAAAACCGCTAGACGAAGACTCTTGCGGAACGGATTAATTTCGTCTTGCGAGGCACCACTGTAGGTCAAAATCTTTATTTCACCAACCAAAGCATCATGAAATAGGGTGAAAGGCTGCAAGTTCTCCAGAACTCTCCATCAAGTTATAGAGTAGACAAAGAACTTTTTTTGGGGGGGGAGGGGTGGTGGTTGATGGTAACACCATGAGTTTGCATCTGGTCAGTGTCCTAAAATGGAAAATAGCAGGAGGCAGCAGATAGTAGAAGCCAAAGTAGCAATAGCGCCATATGATGTGAGATATTGTTATTGCATCACCCTCCTGGCTATGGTAATATTGCTGCTCCCTGGTATGGGCCAATCAGGTGGCAGCAAGGGCAGGTAAGCACAAGACTGGCAGCAGGTGGAGGGGGTATAACACCTGGGCCCACAGCTGCTGCCAATCCATGGCTTCCTCCACCCTCACTGCTGCTCCACCTCATCCTTGGCAAGGGACAGCACCACTGCAGCCAGGAAGGTGGTCCAGTAGTGGCATCCCACCTTACGTAACATGAATGCAGTTTGGATAACTCTACTTTTTAGTTGGAGTGAAATTTCTCTTAGGGAATAAAGCCCAATCTTCACAAGATCCTCCTTCTCCAGTTTACGATTGCACTGTTCAATGGTGAAATTCAGTATTTTCAAACATCACATAAAATATTTCCCCTCTATTCGCTTTTTAAAAAACCTAGCATATCACCTAGAATTAATTTCCACATTGGTTGACATTAAGACTGCCTAGGTTTACTTTATTTGTGTTTTCCACCTATCAGAGAACCTGTGTTTTCTCCCACGTGTGAAGATCGGGTAACAGCCTTAGTAACAGCCTTAGTAACGTGTAACAGCCGTTTTTTGTATTGGGAGAGATGGGGAAATCAGCTGTTGTTCTGTTGGTCACTGAATAAGGATGGGAAATTGAAGCAAATCAAATGGAACAACTGTACGTTGCCCTTTCTGTAACACAAATTGTTAATGGCTATTTTTAGGCACACAACTTTAAGGGTCCTTGAGAATGAAAACCTGGAAACCTCACAAGAGCTAAATAATGGCAGGGAGCAGTAACTTTGCAAGAAATGAAAAGAGCAGTTGTAACATGTGATTATGTGATAAAAGATTGTATCATACTCTGGCTAAGCATTTTTAAATTCCAAAGGATTCATTTTGAAATGTTGCTCTGCTTCTAAGGTGGTTGGGTGTGCATGGTATATGTCTGTATCTTTAGACAGCTTCCTGGAGCAGCTCTAATCCTAAACAGGAATAGTTGCCTAGAGAGTGGAAATATCTAAGCAAAGGATGGGCAGGAATCTGCCAGGAAATGCTTTATGCATAGGATGTCCTGCTACAGGGCAGGGACTTGTGCCAGATGATTCACTACATTCCCTTCCAACCCCACAGCTGTGCTTCTATGATATACCCACCCTAAATGAAACCTGCATTAGCCTTGATTTCCTTCAGTTGTCATATGACATGCTTTCTAAATTTCATAAACAAATACCAAGAAGAAGTTTAAGGAACCTCCAACTTCAAGAATGCTTGTATTGTTTTGAAGCTACAGAATGGCTAATCTGTGTCACCATTACGGTTCATGTTAAGAACAACAGTTCTATTTTCAGTTTTTAGAGACCCACTATAAGGCTTCTGGTTATGGCTAATGCTTTTTAGCCTGGGGGACACCTTCACTCTTGGCAAACCCTCCAGAGGTCATATGCCAGTGGTGCATTTGGCCATCATACACTTGCACACACTCTCTCATATACATGCAAAAAAGGTAAAGGTTAAGTCCAGTCAAAGGCGACTATGGAGTGCAGTACTCATCTCGCTTTCAGGCTGAAGGAGCTGGTGTTTGTCCACAGACAGCTTTCTAGGTCATGTGGCCAACATGACTAAACCACTTCTGGTGTAACACAACACCATTTACACAGCCCCATCTGATGCAGATCAACTGAGAAGATTGTTCATCACTGGGGATGTCAGAGGAAACTGTTCAAATGCCCTAGCAATCTGTTTCCTTCCATCAATTCAGTTTGCATAGACTTGTGCAAAATAAACCAATTGCAACACTGGAAAGTCAAACCAGATGAAAGGGTGAACGAATATCATAGCTGAATGAGACATGTTTGTACATAGCTAGTTATCATCCCCTCTGTGCTCCTCAAATGATTGATCTGATGACTGGGGAGGAAGAGATGTGCTATGTACCTCTGTCCTAGACAAATTGCTGTTGCAGACCAGCCCTTTAATCTTCTCAATAGAGGAATAATAATAGTGAGATATGAATACTGCATACAATTATGGTAACAATTTTAAGTTGTACTTGAGAATGTACATTTATTTATTTATTACCTTAAGCAATCTGGAGGAATACATGGAGACAGAGGTTTGGCAAGATACAAAAAAATAAAAATAAAAATGGTGATAATAGCTAGAGAAGGAGGCTGGCAGCTTTCGTGTCTCAGCTGTGCCAAACTAAAGAGTAATTTAGGAACCATGGGAGAAACAGCTAACTTGCTTACAGAAAGAGAGAGAGAGATGTAAGAACAGTGGAAATAACCTTTTTTTTAAAAAAAGAAAAGTACTCTTATTATCTCCACTTGATCTTTACTATTTTTTTCTGATAGGGACTGACCTGATCTTCCCTTATCACATAACACAGTTTTCCATGAGCTTTCACACTTCCCAAATGTTTTGATGCAGTTTTCAGTTCAAAAAGCATGCTCAAAACAAAACACATTTTAAAATGTGGTCTTAAATAGGTATTAAAGGGTGCAATCATATGATCAGTGGGAGGCCATATGACTTTGCAGGTGTTTCTGTCTCATGTCAGCCATGACACAGAGAAAGGATCACATAGAGGGGAAAGGGTATATAGGAAAAACTTGGCAGAGAAAAGGGAAAAGGGGCATTTCGGGGACTGATTAGGAGTGGCGTTGGTCCAGTGAATTCCAAGCCCTCTCATTATCTCAGTATGCCATGACGGTGGTAGATGGAATAAATGCCAGCCTTGGACGTGGCATACTAACCCCTCCCAAGCTTTTACCCTGGCAGGCATGAGACTGGCTGGGCTTGGGAACTGGTAGTTCTATTGCCTCCTCCAACCTCACCGGTTTGCTTTGCCCATGAGAATTTGAGAACAACAACACATTAACACGGAAATAGGATGAAACGGACTTATGGAAAGCTGACACAGACCAGAAACAGACTGATTCACTCATCCTTAAGCACTATTAGATATTTCATATAAGGCTGATGCAAATATCTCAGCCTAAGGAGATAATGTAGTAAATTTGAATGGAAGCCCAGTAGGCAAGGTAGAAATCCATGAATAGTTACAGAGAAGATAAAATAGGAATGTAAGAAGAGGTTGCCTTGTACTTTAATAATTTCCTGGCAGTCTTCCATGTCTTGATCTGCTTTCCAGAATGGGTAGCGTACCATGGCCTAAGGTGTTTTTGTTTTTTTTTGTTTTTTTAACAATAATTACACTTCAAAATGAAATTTGGTAGACAATAAGGAGGATTCACTGACACAGCTCCAATTCTAAAATAGAATCTCAGTGGCTTATTGTTCCATATTTGATTATGCAAGACAGGGTGAGCCTTGATGACCATTATGATAATCTGATATGCTGTCCTTTGCTTAACCAGGAGTAGTGTCAACAGCAATTGTTGTTGATACGAAAGCTATTGCAGCAACAGATGTTCTCAAATTCCAGAAGGCTCCAAGTTCAATCCCTGAGAAAGACCCCTGAAACCCTGGAGAGTCACTGCCAGAGTGTAGACAGTGCTGAAGGAGATGGAACCAATAGTCTGATTCAGTATAAGGCAGATTTCTGAGTGTTTCCAAAAACTCTGCCACCACAGTAGCTGGATAGGACTGGAAAATGTTTCTGTTGCAGGTTCAATCCCTGGCAAACCATGGAGAGATGGCTCTAGTCAGTGTAAACAATACCAATCTAGGTGGATCTATGGCAGGCTTCCTCAAACTTGGCCCTCCAGATGTTTTGAGACTACAATTCCCATCATCCCTGGCCACTGGTCCTGCTAGTTAGGCATCATGGGAGTTGTAGGCCAAAAACATCTGGATGGCTGAGTTTGAGGAACCCTGATCTATGGCCTGACTCAGGAGGATGTCAGCTTCCTATGTTCCCTCTGCTCCTATAGTACATCAGTCATGAACCCACAGTACCCATGCAAGTAAGGCACTAATCAACAGCTGATGACAATGGGGATGTCAGACAATGTCATCCTACTCACTCAGGTTACGCCCCCTCCATATAAAATCCACAAGAATGCAGGTGGGAAATCTCTGTTTAGAGCTTCTTGTGGTCTCGTGGTTAGCAGGCCTAAATGGAGAAACCAGAGGCTTCTCAGGAAAAGGCCTCAGGTTTTTGAGATACTCTCAGTTACACACAGAGACATACAAGTTCAGAACACAGACTGCAACACGCATCTAGTTATATATGTCAGAGAGGAACAAGCCCTGCTTCAAGAGGGATGAAAGCCATATGGCTAAGAAAGACTGAAAGCTACAGTAGCACACAGGAGGCAACAGCATCAACAGACCATTCACTCAGTGGGAAAGAAAAGACTTTGTAAAACAGGCACTGTGGATTTGAGCTCCACTGCTGAGATGCCAATGCATCATTCACAAGGCAAAGCCCAACTTTTGGGAGTGCTGACAGCAAAAATAACATTGATTTCTTCAACAGGTAATAGAAGGTAGAGTCCCATGGATGCAGGATGGGGAACCTGCAGCCCTCCAGATGTTGTTGGGGCTCCCACCATTCCAAGATAGCAGGACCAAGTGTCAGGGATGATGGGAACATCATCCAGGAACATCTGCAGAGCCACAGGTTCCTAGCCCTGCACTAGAGCAACTCATAAACTATAGAGCAGACAGAAGAATGCCTTATGATATGATTATGTGTATTCTCCTAGCCAATGACAAACCCCTTGCCAGCCTCTCACTTACCCATTCCATATAGAACAGAACTGAAGCAGAAGAGGATTTAGGAATGATTGTATCTGCCCCAGCCTGCACAACCCTGGATTTATTATCATTTACGGTCATTTGGTTTCCTTTACCGCTTCTTTCATGTAAAGCATGCTATTAATTCAAAACTTATCAAGCAGTGCCATGCAGCTGTAATATCTCAAACATCTGTTCTTTGTCATCTCACATTTCAGAAAATTAAGTCAGTAAGATCTAATATCATATGGTCTTTTCAGGCAAATTACATCATAATTCTTTAATTATAGCTAATCCTGGTAATACCCAACAAAGAAGCTCTGAACTTAGCTTCTGCTTGTTCAGTAACCATTTAATACCATAAGGGGATGTGTTTCTTTGTTCTTCTGTCCAAAAATGGAGCTTATGTAAAAATAATGGTTATTAATAATGAGTTGCCTCATTACATATGTTTGCATTAAGAAATAAGCAGCTTCCATTGCCATTTGAGGACTGATTCTACATGTTCAGAAATTTAATATGGTGTGGCTCTCCTAGGACTGGGCCATTTCAGAATGCATTTCTACAAGACGAAAACGAAGCCATCAAGGTAAGGAGTACTTGTCAAACGTTGTGTCTGAACAGAAGAGAAGACAACATGTATGTATTGCTATGTAAATAGATGTTAATGGGAAGCAAAGGTCTTCTGGCGAGTCCCAGCTCGGAAACCTGTGAAGCTGGAAAAGAGAGGGATCAAGAGAAGACACATAAACTACATGTATTGTTCGATCACCACTGAGTAACAAGAAGCAGCTAGCGATGGGTGGGGAATCCATGCACAGTCAGATTCTCACTCTTGTACAGATTTACATATATGAGGTGGTCCAATGGCTGTCTGTCCATCTTCTTTAAAAAGTAATTTCAGCCACCTAAAAGCAGCTACCTAGTGTGTGGGGCTCCTGTTGCTCATGTGTGTTGAAATCAGTACAGCAAATCCCACGGGGATTAACAGGTCTTGATGATATGCCTCACACTCTTGCAGAAATTTAGGATATTTTATGTGCATTTTACATTCAAATCTCCCTTAGAGTTTTGGGGGGAATTCAACAACAACAAAATAAAATGTATATAAAATACATAAAATTCCCCATGAGTGATAGAACACCATCACTTAATTGGTCTTGCTACATTGATTTCAATATGTGCAACAGCAGGAGACCCATTTGCTAGTTAGGTGCTTCTAGGCTGCTGTACTTCCTTTTTGAACACAGATAGGAATCTATTGGACCCACCTGGCAAGCAGGTGGGAATTCCCCCTTTATTTTGTACATTACATTTGTGTAGATTTCTAAAGAATTATACAGATTTGTCCTCAGAAACCCGCACAGCAATGGGATGGATTGGACTTTATTCCTGTTCTGTGATGAGCTGAATTTTAATTTAATTTTATTATTTATAAAATATATTCATCGCTTGTCACCCAAAGGTCTCCAGACAACTCACAGCAAAGAAAAATTTACAATATATAATACCATAGTGTATCATACAACATAAACACCCATGGAAAAACAAAAAAGCACACATACCAGCTTTATAAATATAGTCGTACCTTGGTTCTTGAATGCCTTGTGACTCAAACGTTTTGGCTCCTGAACGCCGCAAACCCGGAAGTGAGTATTCCAGTTTGCGAACATTTTTTGGAAGCCGAATGTTCGATGCGGAACCCGCACCAATTGGAAGCTTCACCTTGGTGTTTGAACATTTTCAGAAGTCGAACGGACTTCTGGAACAGATTCCATTTCAGAACCAAGGTATGACTGTAGTAGCAAAAAATAGTAATACAGTGGTACCTCGGGTTAAGAACTTAATTTGTTCTGGAGGTCTGTTTTAGCCTGAAACTGTTCTTAACCTGAGGTACCACTTTAGCTAATGGGGCCTCCCACTGCCACTGCACTGCCAAAGCATGATTTCTGTTCTCATCCTGAAGCAAAGATCTTAACCTGAGGTACTATTTCTGGATTAGCGGAGTCTGTAACCTGAAGCATCTGTAAGCTGAGGTACCACTGTAATACTCAAATAATAAACAAAGCAATGCTTTGATCCACTAGCAAATAAACAAAACCTCAGCCTCCTCCTAGTCCAAAAACCGTGCACATCAAACCAGCAATTTTTCCCATTTAACTTCCCCACCCCACCCTGAAGTCTGGTGTTGAGGCCAGTTGTTACAAAGCAGTGGTCAGTGGGTCTAGTGTCCTCCAGGGATGGTCTGTCATCTCTCCTCTCCCTTCAGGGGGCAGCAGTAGCAAAGCAAAGCAGGAAGGTGGTAACAAAGGTTTTGCCTGCTTTGCAGTTGACCCAGCTACTGCTCCTCTCCTGCTTCAATCTTGGCCCCCCCTCCCTAGAGGCAGCCCAAACAGATCTGGCGTTAGGACTCGTCTCTCTTAAGCTCAGGTGCTGCAGCTTCAGTGCCAACCCCCACCCCAGATAGTATAGTATACTAACTAGCTGCCGTTAAAAGTAAAGTTTCTAAGATGAGATCACTTCTATTTTCAATCTATAGAAATCAAAGACATTTTCAGGTCTGGCTTTCCCCCTGGAGTTTTCCTTATTTTTTATACTGCAAAAACTAAATAAATATGGATTTATCAAAAGGCCTTAAGGCAGAGCTGTTCAAGTTATGACTGCATTTTGTTTGAAACTCAAAGCTTTTCAAGCTCCATGCTTATGGGGTGGTGAAACTTAGGTATGCTGGGGATATTGTTTGTTATGGTATTTTCACTTTCATGCTGGAGGTAAAAAAATAGCTAAAATGAAAAATCTAAGGGAACTGCATGTATACTCTGTGTGTGTGTGTGTGTGTGTGTGTGTGAGAGAACATGTACACACACAGAGAGAGAGAGAGAGACTGAATACCCACATTACTATCTTAGCCTCTTTCCAGCAAGTTCTGCTAGCATACAGATGAAGAAGATAATCACATTTGCCAAACTCATTTTAGATACCTTAAGATGGAGATGCAGGAATCAAACGGGTACCGTATTTGAACAACTTCTCCAGCTGCCTGGATCAAGCACACAAGCCATGGTTCTCTGGGCTTGACTAATCTGTGATGACTTTTTTGCTCTGAGGCTAATGCAACATCTCAGCGGATGGAATGTTCAAAGCCCACAATGTCCGAGTTGCCTCAGATGCTGTGAATCTTCGTAGCAAAGTTCATCTATTTCTGGCCTATCTCGAACAATCAAACAGCACTGCAAACGTACAGATGAAATGACCTGTTGTGTGATAGGAAAGAGTATTTTCCATGGTCTGTTGGAGCACTATGACCAAAGAGCAATGAACTAAGTAGAATCGTGATGCATAACTGAATCTGGATTTCATTGCTTGAGAACACATACCCCAAATACTTTACAGGGATAAAGCTTGAACAAATAGTCAGCTTGAAAGGAGTTAGTCTGAACAAAGCACTGACCTTTGATGCAGTATGTTCCATGTTAGGTTGCTATCTGGGCAGTTACTCCAGGAAACTGACATGTTTGCACTCCAACATTTCAATATCGTTTACTCAGCATAACATAGCAGCTCAGCCAAACCCATTCTGTAGAAAGCACATTCACAAAGGACTCAGCAGTTAGTCAAAATTATTCTTTAAAACCACCCTGATTCTGCACACATTTAGGCCATGTTCACACCATACATTTAAAGCACTATGATACCACTTTGAACTGTCATGACTTCTCCCGAAGGATTCTGGGACTGTAGTTTATTAAGGGTTCTGAGAGTTATTAGGAGAACTGTATCCCTCAAAACTACAAAATTCCCTGTGAAGAGGGATTGGTTGTTAAAACCAATCTGAGAATTGTAGCTCTGGGAGAGTAAAAGAGGTTTCCTAACAACTCTCAGCCCCCTTAACAAAGCACAGCTCCCAGAATTCTTTGGGGGAGCCATGATTGTTAAAGTGATATCATAGTGCTTTAAATGTATCGTGTGAATGTGGCCTCAGAAACAAGTCCTACTGTTTTCCACAGAACTTCCAAGTATGTGACTAAGAATGGAATGGGGACATTTAAGAATAATTAAAATCTTGGCCTAAAAATCTTCCTGGAGGTAAAAAAATTAAATAAATGAGTAATTACTGAGAGACCACATGATTAATTATAATTTAGTTTTTATGATAACTGACTGATGAAAGAAGTGAGCAATGGAACTGCTACATATTTTGCCATGATAAATCAAAATGGATTGTATCTGACCAAGCTTTCCTCAAAGTAGACTTACTAAAAATGAATGAACCTAAGTTAGTCATGACTATTAATTTCAATGGGCTTACTCTGACTAGAGCTATTGTATACAATCCAATGTACTAGCAAAATGCTCTGGAAAGCAAAGGGGTTTAGTGGATGGTGAGCTACAGAGTTTGGCCATGTACAGCAGTGCAATATACTGTATGCCAGTATGGCCCCTCTCAGGCTGCCCAGTGTTGGGGCTAGAGATGTGTAGGCTTTTTCTCTTGTGCAACAGAGTCCCTAACCATTCATTTATATGGGATAAAGTAAAGGTGCGTGCTCTTTGTGGCTAGAGCTAAGCACACTGTCCTCGCTTCCTCGCAGAGAGAGTAGTTTCTTTTTATTTATTTGCCTTTCCCCCAACAATTGCCAAAGGCTGCATCGCATTTCATTTGCCTCATAGAACTTAGGCAGTCAGTATGAGTCAAATGGCTCACCACAAAACTGTGCCAATTGAGACTGCATGCAGGGACATGCTTAACCTTTCAAAAATAAGTCATTGTAGTCGTCAGAGGGCCTGGGACTCTTCTGAGTATGCAGAAGCGGAAACCATTGGTTGCTTCAACAGTCTTGTGAAGACATCAGGATATTATGGGGGGGGGGTTTGCTTTTATATGCTTCCTGTGTTTTTATATTGGTTTTAGGTTATGGTTTTGTTTCTTATGATATATTGTTTCTTTTTCAGACTATACACTGCTTAGAGTTTTTAAGAATATGAAATGGTTGACAAATTCTTTTAAATATATGTAAATAAATAGGAGTATGGATGCAGAATAAGCTAAGCAAATCTGTTTTATTTATGTATTTATTATTTCCATTTTTAGACTACTTACTATCTGAAGATCTTGAAGCGGTTTACAATAAATAGACACACAGGTATGAGTACAATCAAGACCATAGCAAATGATTTGCATAAAAGTGAAATGTCTACATATACTGTATCAATAAATAGAAACACAATGTTGTTCTAAATAAAGCCAGAAACCCCAATGGGTTTACACTCACCCTGCTCATCTCTTATCTCTCTCCTGAGAGCACCAAGTTTCATATCAGAGCAGGCTTTTACCCTCATTTGGTGTTATAAACCTACTTCCCTCTATGCACACCCAACTACATAATCATAACAGGCTTGGCGCTGCACAACCTCAACTCCTGAGAAATCAGCACTGGTGGAAGAAAATAGTAGATTCTTTCCAGAACAGATACCTCCTCCCCAAATTCTCCCCAGTCTAACGTAAGTCCTGGGATAGGCTTGCCTCTGATTAACTCAGCTCTTCTGAAATATTGATTTAGATCAAAGAATAGATTTATCACATACAATGCGGTCATGACATTGACTGTGCAAATTACCCCACCATCCTCTCAGCTATATCCAAAGGTGTATAAGGACTGGGATTCACTTATCACATATGCACAGTTTGTAAGGTGTTCTATTAATATGAAGGGGGGTTTTTAGTGCAAAATTTAAATGGCTTACAGTGCAATATTCAGTTTAATTCCTCTAGACAGATATATGCTAAAAACACTGCCCATAGGCTGAGTGCAGTGAGCACTTGTTGCACTGATGGTTTTCATTCCAGTAATGGCTCTCGATCTGCAAGTCTACACTGTTAGTACATCTATTCCTCTTCTTTACTTGTCACAAAAAGTTTGTTTACACCATGCATCCTCTACCCTTAAGGTAACACTGCTGGGGGTTTTCTTTGTTAATTCATACCTGCAGCTCAAATCCAGCCACCTGTCTGACACGATGAAATTCATTCTTATGTATGCAAAGGCACTGTAAGGTTACTGGCAATCATTCCAAATATCTTATTGCAAAGAAGGCAAAATGCCAACAGATAAGTTGAGTGCAGTGTCACTCCTATATTGCAGCCTAAACTGCAGCTAAGGAGAGCCTTGGATTTATTTTCTACAAAAGTGCAGGTGCTGCTGCTGCTGCTTTTATGATCCTCCTTTCAGCCTAAGGTCCCAGGACACGTAATTGCAAGAGTAGTTTTTAAAAAATGGAACAAAAACATATTTTACACAAATCAGTAGGAAGCCTTGGAATTACAATTATAGATTTAATTATAGTCTACACAGACTCCACTAAGGAAAACCAACAACTATTATGCATGTTCTTGCTTGAGGGGGAAAAACAACAAGAAAACTATACATCATATTTCCTCAAACATAGAGCTGGACAGAAAATAGATTGTGGTCCATTAAGCAGTTTCTTAATGGACAAGACAAGAATGATGGACAAGGTGGATCTTCATCTGACCTAGCGCCACACAGTCACACCATAACCTAATGTATTGGCTTCCGATCTATAGATCTTTCCAGCAGATGTTTGGGCATTTAGTGTGGTTTCTTTCTTTGCTTTTTCTAAATGAAGTCCTTTATTTATACCTTTTTTAAAAACAACAACAACCCAGCTTATATAAATTTTAATCAGATTTTATTTTTCTTACTCATAAATTTAAGGCAGTCAGATGGGTGGGATAATAATAATAATAATGGATTTCCCTATTTTTATCAGAGAAATGGGAATGCTATATGACAATGGCTCTATGTACATCTTCACCATTTGGTGACATCTCACCATAAAGAAAGTTGGGTAATATGTTTCCCTCACAAGATGATGTAAATCCATCTTCATAATGGGCTCCTGAGATCTGAAGCAATAAAATATCCTTTGAATTATTATTATTTTTCCCTGTACCGAAGACAACAAAGAAACTAGTATGCATAAATACACCTGTTCGGACTCCACTCTCATCTCCACCCCAATAAAATCTGGCTGCCTTCCAGTCACCCTTGAATCAGTTAAATTATGTAGGAATGTCTTGTATCAAAGCTGAGGAAAAGAAAATGGATAGGCTCATGCCTAATTTATTTTGAAAGTGACCCAATGGCCCTTCCACCTGCTGGGAGGAAACTAACCAAACCAGTCTTTCCCTTGAAAACAGTCTACGAAAATAAAGCCTTTGGGGACCTGTTACCATATACTATACTGGGGTCCAGGCCAGAGACCTTTCAAAAGCTATCTAGTTTATCCTTCCTTTCCGTTCCTGCCAGCATGGTCCTTTCCTTCCTGAAGCAGCTTCATTTTTCTAGAGGAACGAGTGGACCATCCCTTCCAGAGGCAACTCATATTTTCTTATCTCTCTCAAAACACTGTCCCTCTGTTTCCTGTGAGTGTCAAATCTTTACATCACCCATGCTCGAGAAGGGCATGTCAACAGACTGGGGTAGCCAACATGGTTCCCTCCAGTTGTTGTCCGACTCCAATTCCCATCAGCCCCAGCCAGCATGGCCCGTGCTCTGGGATGGTGAAGTCCAGCATCATCTGCACCATGTTGGTTATGCCTGAGCTAAGAGCAATAATTACTTAATGGACCTCTGAACCTTCAAAATAATAGGCTCAGGTAAAATGATTGTGTGTAGGGTTGCCATATTTCAAACAGTGAAAATCCAGTGAAAACAGTGAAAAATGTTGTTGAGCTTTTTTTAGTTTTGCCCAAAGTTCTCGACTATTTTCTATAAAAACAGCACTGCCAACATGGGTTGCCATCCATCCAGATTTTCCAAAACATTTAGCCAATTTCTGCCTGGACACTACTGACAAATGCAGTATTCCAGATATGTCCAGGAAATTCAGCAACCCTAATTGTGTGCAGCTTCAAGCATTGGGCTTTTGGGGAAGTTTTTTCTCAACATTTTGAGATCCATTGCCCCACATGTTCCAACAGACTTCCTTTTGCTGAGCAGGTTTTTAGTTCAGGCCCTAAATTAGGAATCCTGCAAACTAAATCATTACCTACAATCATATGTAATTTCTTTTGCACTCGGTGAATCATTAAGTATGGGGAGACAGCTTATTTACATCTGCTTAACTATACAGCGCTTGGCAATTTGGATGAACCAATCATTACTTCAAGGATACCAGGCTAGGACCTGCTTAACTACAGCATGGCGCCCAACCCCTGCTTGATCCTTTACTCCTTCAAGGAAGGAGTTGCGTTTTCTCCTGCAAGCCTTCTATCAGTCTTGCTTTTTCGGAAGGGAAGACAAAATATGCCTCCCTTGGCCAGGAAGCTGTTTTCTATCCATGCAGGAAATCCTAGCACATAATTATCACCAACACAAGGAACAATAGGTGTGAGAAGTGCACCTACTTTGCCATCCAGAAACGTAGAGATAAATAATAATTAAGGATACATTTCTCTTTAGAATTATCTCTTGTTTGCAGTGTTATATAAATTAGCCATCATCTTGGGGAAAACTACTATTTTGGTTTATGGAAGACTGTCCAAAAAGGACAGCTTTCAGACTGGCTCAGAAGTGTCCACTGTCTTCCCTGAAACAAGAATAGTTCAAAACTGGTCTAAGTGCAACTCAGAAGATGGAGGTTTTCAAAACAGAAGTTGATTGGCCATCTGTCAGGAATTCTTTAGCTGTGATTCTTGCATTCATAGAATCATAGAATTGTGAAGTTGAAAGGGAGCCACAGGGTCATTTAGTTCACCCCACTGAACTGCAGGAATCTCAGCTAGATCATACATGACAGATGACAATCGAAACCCTGCTTAAAGACCTCCAAAGAAGGAGAGTCCACCATCTCTTGTAGCAGTGTGTTCCACTGTCAAAAAGTTCTTACTGTCAGAAGGTTCTTCCTGATGTTTATTCAGAATATCCTGTCTTGTAACATACATCCATTGGTTCAAGTCTTACTCTCTGGAGCAGAAGAAAACAAGCTTGCTCCACCCTCCATGTGATAGACCTTTAGATATTTGGAGATGGATATCATATCACCTCTTAGTCTCCTCTTTATAAGGCTAAACATACTCCATTCCATCAACTGCTGCTCATTAGACCTGGTTTCTAGACCCTTCATCATCTTGATTACCCTCTTCTGCACACATTTCGGCTTGTCAATATCCTTCTTAAATTGTGGCACCCAGAACTGGACACAGTATTCCAGGTGTGGTTTGACTAAGGCAGAATTGAGTAGGACTATTATGTCCATTGATCAAGACACTTCTATTGATGCAGCCTAGAATAGCATTAGCTTTTTTTTTGCTGCTCCATCACATTGTTGACTCACCATTGACAATGTTGGCTTGTGGTCTACTAACATCCCTAGATCCTTGTCATATGTACTATCAGCAATCCAAGTGTTCCTCATTTTATATTTGTGGTGCTGGTTCTTCCTACCTAAGTGGAGAACCTTACCTTTGTCTCTGCAAGGCATCTAACTAGGAGACCCTTGGGGTCCCTTCCAATTCTATAGTTCTGTGATTCCATGAAAGTGACTTTCATTTCAACAGATACTATACATTTAGTAAAAACTATTGAAAGCAGTGACACTCACTCACAAGCAAATGAATGCAACATTCATTTTGGTGATCTGTTTGCACAGTCTAGTCTTAAAATGAAATCAGACCTTAAATGATATTTACATTCTTAATTCATAAGGATGCTTCAAGAACTGATGTTTTCAGAACATGTGATTACAGAGTTTGCAGATTATGTTTGAAGATTAGGTTTGTGAAATACATTTATGTATTTATCTTATTATTCTGTATATGCCCAAGGAACTTTTTGTCCCTATGATTATTGCCCTGTGAGTAAATAACCAGCTTCTAAATGCACTTATCCTCACAACACCTAAGTGAAGCAACGATGTGCTACTTATGAAAATGCAGGAAGCTGTGTTGCAGACATACTCCAATTTTTATTTATACTAATAGCAATTTTTCCTTCTAACATTATGCTTTCCCATAAATAATTTGCCCAAACTCTTCTGTAGAGTTTCTCTTAGAAGGTGGTATCAACTGCTATGAAGGTACTTCTCTAGGGATAAAAATGCATGAATCACAAAGTGGTTCAAAGTCACAGCTCAGAGTACCTACAGCAGTAGAAGTTACACTATTCAGTCCTGGGTTTACCCTAACACTCACAGAAAGCTCTTGCAACCTGACAATGTTGGTTCCACCCCCCATTCAATGCAATATTGGAAGCAGAGTCACATTCACTGTGAACTGTAAGGATTTTGCTATCCCTGACCTGAATGTACCAACACATAATTGACTTTCTTCCAGGTTAAGCACAGGTCTCCAGTAGGTGTTTCAGACAACTGCATTGATGATGTATGTATGGAAATTAAGTAGGATGGAAATTACATAGGTTATCAGAGGTGAGCATTCATCTCTGCACATTGCATAGAAGCAAGGGAAGAAAAAGCACAAGTTCATTCCCTGAATTGCTATTATTATTATTATTTTCCTGCATTGCTATTGTTGATTAATTTATATACTGCTCAGTACCGGAACTTGTTTCTTCTAAGTGGTTTACAAAATATAAATATTAAAAACCAAGCACATAAATTGAATTTAAAATGGTTAAAATATACAATAAAGCTGTATAGCTGTATGATTTTTTTAAAAGTAAAAACAGAAGATCTAGTTCAAGGGAACAGAAATATGCTTACACAGCTGCAAGCGCCTGCAGGATGCAAACACAGACTGGGTCTCTCAAATTTCAACAGAGAGGGCATTCAATAAATCTGGTACAATACAGTGGTACCTCTGGTTATGTACTTAATTCGTTCTGGAGGTCCATTCTTAACCTGAAACTGTTCTTAACCTAAACCACCACTTCAGCTAATGGGGCCTCCCGCTGCTGCCACACCGCTGCCATGTGATTTCTGTTCTCATCCTGAAGCAAAGTTCTTAACCTGAGGTACTATTTCTGGGTTAGTGGAATCTGTAACCTGAAGTGTATGTAACCCGAGGTACCACTGTAAGTGGAAAAGGCCACCTTCACATTGCCAGTTGGGCCATGGCAACATTAGCAGGGTTCCATTTGTTGTCTTCAGTGCCTTTACAGGGTAAAAAGGTAAAGGTAAAGGACCCTGACAGTTAAGCCCAGTTGTGAACGACTCTGGGGTTGTGGTGCTCATCTCGCTTTACTGGCCGAGGGAGCTGACATTTGTCCGCAGTTTTTCTGGGTCATGTGCCCGGCATGACTAAGCCACTTCTGGCAAAACCAGAGCACTGCACGGAAACGCCGTTTACCTTCCCGCTGGAGTGGTACCTATTTATCTACTTGCACTTTGACGTGCTTTCGAACTGCTAGGTTGGCAGGAGCTGGGACCGAGCAATGGGAGCTCACCCCATCGCGGGGATTTAAACCGCCGACCTTCTGATCGGCAAGCCCTAGGCTCAGCGGTTTAGACCACAGTGCCACCCACATAGAGGGGAAATCAGCAGTCCAGAGTATTTTAGCAGTTTATATGTAACTCTCAAGACCTTAAAGCTAGCTCAGTAGCTAATAGGCAGCAAGAGCAGATCCATCAGTACAGGTGTGATGTGTGCCCAATAAAAGACACCACTCAGCACCCAGGCTGTGGGCATTCTGCGGCAGTGGCACCTCTGGATCAGCCATAAGAGAAGCCCGATATATGATGCACTATAGAGAATCTCAGAAATATTTCCCCTGTGGGTGAGATTGTGTCCCTGGACCAAGAGTATGGAAGAAATGAACAACAAAAGTACCAAAACAGTAGCCTGAGGATGCTCCTAGAGTCATCAGTGTCACTGGTGGCTCAAGTGGCTGCAGTAATGAGGAGCATCTCTTACCAGTTTTGGCTGGTACATCAGCTTTGGCTGTGTCTGGACAGGGACAGCTTAGCCACAGTGACTTGCATCTTGCTAACCTAATGCCTTGATTACTGCGATGTGCTCTATGTGGACCCACCCCTAGCTGCAGTCTGGAAGCTGAAGCTAGAGTAGAATGCAACAGTTAAGCTAATGAGCCAGGGACATGTAACACCCTTGTTAAAAGACCTGTACTGTGTCAATTAGCTAACAGGACAGGTTCCAGGTTCTAATATTAATTGACAATTTCTTAACTAGCTAGGGACCAGCTTATCTGAGAAAATGCCTTCCATATAAAACTGTCTGCTTCCTGCAGTCATTTTCAGTCATCTCCCACAACCTGCAAATGTTCATGGGCAACAACTCACAACAGAGTCTTCCCTGTCATGACACTTTTTGGGGGGGGCGGGGGGGAATAACCATCTCGCAGACATAAAGCAAACATTAACCTGGCTACACTTCTGATGAACATTTAAAACCATCCTGTTCATCTTGGTGTGTGCTGGCAGGTATTATGGTTTTTTAAATGGTTTTGACTTCCGATTATGTTGGACACCTTTTTTTTGATTTTTAAGTGTATTGTATATTTGTTTTGCTGTATACCACTTTGAAATGGTGCTCTTGCTGTGAGAATCGCAGGCAGCACACACATATTTTAAAATAAATAACCATCAACAACAATATATCCTACTCCTCACTGTATGAAGTGACCTCTATTGAAAATTTCAAGTGAAGCAATCCTACTAGCCATCTGAAACTGTGTTGACCTCTAGTCCCTCTTCACAACTGCCATTGAACATTCATTTCTAAATAAGTGTCTGAGAAGTTTAGAAGTGCTATCTGTTCTTTCTACAGGATTCATAAAGTATACTGTACTTCCCCTACAAGAAAACTGTGGTTTCTTAACTCAAGTGATTATTTCTGAGTAAGTGTTTTATTAGCTTCTATCCAAACCAGCTCTTTCTCTTTCTCCAGATTATTCAGTCTTATGCTCGAGTCCATTAGTCATGTAATTTAGCCTGCCGGAATGAAATTGTTGCCTGCCTTTCTAAAGTGGTAGATAATTAACTGTTGCAGGGGAAGGTATTTGTGCTTTGCCATTGAAAGAAAACTCTTCCTGGGTAAATGAGTAAGAATCCAGATATTGCTAGAATTTTTTTTTGCTAACTAGCAGTCTGATCCTGTGCATGCTTTAGTTAAACACCAGCACAGGCTTGCCCTACCAACCTCAGTCCGCCCTCATTTAGTTCTCACCTGCCTGTCTTCTAACGTACAACTAGTCCAGGGGTTCCCTATTGCCAGCTTCCTCCTCCTCAGTTTCAATGTTGCCCTTGCAGAACTCAGTAGGGAGGAGGATGGGGACAAAACTCAAATTGGTTGGCTCTGCCCATCATTGGCTCAGGCCCCACCTACTGTTAGCATTTCTGCCTTCTGCACCATCAGTCCTAATGGTTACCAGCCACTACTGTTAAATTCATGGGGCATTGCATTCAAGAGTATTCTCATAAAGTGGCAGCCAATGAAATGGAAAACTGGGCATGGTTTCCAGAGACATGGTGTGTTAAGGACTCCATTTGGGAAGGAATACATGTTTTGCATGCAAAAGGTCCCAGGATCAAACTTTAGAACTCCCTGCCTATTGATATCAGGCAGAAATCTTTATTGTATGCTTTTTGGTGCCTGCTAAAACATTCTTATAAAGGGACGCGGGTGGCGCTGTGGGTAAAACCTCAGTGCCTAGGACTTGCCGATCGAAAGGTCGGCGGTTCGAATCCCCGCGGCGGGGTGCGCTCCCATTGCTCGGTCCCAGCGCCTGCCAACCTAGCAGTTCGAAAACACCCCCGGGTGCAAGTAGATAAATAGGGACCGCTTACTGGCGGGAAGGTAAACGGCGTTTCCGCGTGCTGTGCTGGCTCACCAGATGCAGCTTGTCACGCTGGCCACGTGACCCGGAAGTGTCTCCGGACAGCGCTGGCCCCCGGCCTCTTAAGTGAGATGGGCGCACAACCCTAGAGTCGGACACGACTGGCCCGTACGGGCAGGGGTACCTTTACCTTTACCTAAAACATTCTTGTGTAGACAAGTCTACTCAGATGTTTAGGAAGCTGATGCAAGTTTTAATCTGTTTTTGGTCTATTGCTGTTTTAATTTTTTGGATGTTTTGCATTATTGTTGTTAATTCTTCTTATTGCTAATGTAATGGTTTCATTTTTTTGTAAACCACTTTAAGTGGGGGTTGTTTCTTAACTAAATCAAGTGGTATAGAAATTTTTGTGAAATAAATAAATGGAATCCCTGTAAGGATGGTAGAGAAAGACTTCTGTATGAAACCCCAGACAGCCACTGCCAGTCAGTGGAGACAGTATTGAGTTTGATAGAGCAATGGTCTGACTTGATATGAGAAAGCTTCCTGTGTGTTTTCACATGCATGCAGAAAGAGGGGAGTGGAATTGTACCTGCTGGCTCAACCACATCTGGTATAACCTATGTGTGCAAGAGTCTGTGAATCCACAATATGTAGGTTTGACAGGGATCACTGAAAGAGAATGTCTCAGATTTGCAAACAGAGAGTATGGGTGTACACTCTGCATTCCTCTGAAGAATCTTTATAATGGCTACAACTTTGGAACTCAGAGTCAGTTTCCCCACCTCTGCTTCACTGCATTGGTTGCCATTTGGCAGGGACAATGACGCCTGTCTGCTTTCTTTAATTAAAGGTTACTAGGAAAATGCAGAATTAATATGATGTGATGGCAGGCATATGGTCCTGTTAGTATGCTGTTTGGATGACTTCTGAGCAAGCACGTACTGGATCAGATTGCTCGCTGGCAAGCATTTCTTAGCAATTCCTGGGTACTTACTGATTTAAGCGTCAGAAAGAGTTTTCTCTCGGTGGCAAAGAAAGCACAAGTATTTGTGCCTTAATTGTTAATGATCGACTGCTTTTGGAAAGCAGGCAACAATTTCTTTCTAGTGGAGTAGATTGCATGACTAATGGTATTATATGTAATACTACCTAAGCCAGAGAAAGAGGAAGATTGGGTTAAAGAATATACATTGATAAATACTCATATAGGGCTGAGAGCATGTGGACACATAAGTTATGCTGAATGCATGCTGTGAGTAAGGAAAATGGACCCAATCCTGCAGCCCTTCCATGTATTCATGTTAATGCAAGAAGAGTTTTATGGTGCCTTAAAGATTAGTAGAACTATTGTGGCATGAGCTTTAATGGACTAGAGCCCACCTCATCAGATGCATGGAAGTTTATCACCAGTTGCCAGCATTTGTCTATCTTTCTATGCACAAATTTGGAACATATATTTTGGGCTTCTGTTAAGTGGAGGATTTCACAAGTTTGTGTGGATAAGAATCACATTCACAAAACATTCAGTACTACTTTTATCTCAGAATGTTGAATAATAACAGCATATCTATTGTGAATTTAAGAAAGAGATGGCTGTAATAAAGCTGTGTTGGTTTTCCCCTTAAAAAGAAATGGTAAGCTTGTGGGCCTACAGATATTGTTGGATATCATCCCCAAACAACCTGACAGGAGTTGATTGGCAACATATGGAGGGCTTCAGGTACCCCAGACTTGTCCTAGGATAACTGGCATAACAGCTTGTTGCAAAGATAGCCTAACCTGTAAAAGGCACTATTCCCTCCCCCCTTTCTCTTCTGTGACTGCATATGTGTGCAATGAGAGAAATTGAAGTATAGTTAGAGCAACCTTCTCCAACCTGATGTCCTTCAGATGTTACTGGGCAACAACACTCCTCAACCTCAGTCAGCATGGACAATGGTCAAGTGGGGAAATCTGGGTTAGAGTGATAGACTAAGACCAACGAAGCTTGGATTCAAATCCCTATTGTCCCACGAGGCTTGCAGGATTAGCTCAGGCCAATCACCAACTCTTAGCTTAACCACTTCACAGAATCATTGTAAGGATCAAATCGTGGCAGGGTGAGACAAGCATGTGTGCAGCACTGAGCTATAAAAAATGTACTAAATAAATTGATAACAGCAAGCGTGCAAGTAAATGTGCTTGTAGGCAGCCTCCCGCTTCCTCCCTTCCTCTCAGCCTCCAGTGCCTGTCTATCCTGTGTAAGATGCCCTTGAACAAATATTGGTGTTCCCTCTGAGCATACTGATACCTCCCTCTTGCTTCTCAATGGCCCTGTTTTGGCTACATGGTAGCAGCATACAAGGATGCTACATAGTAGCAGTGTACAGTATAAGGAGGACCAAAAGTCACCTCGTATCTGTGCATTAAAAAGAAAGATCGATTTCTGAGTTCCAACCACGCTGTGTTCTAATGAATCCAGTCAATGTTTAAGGTTCTGAGCCTCTCTCTATAGAATGAAGCTCTGTGCTACCCCGTTCACTATCATGGAGAATCTAAAAACAGCTTTAACTTTCTCCCCTTTTGGCTACAGTGGATGAAATTTATGAATATATTAATGGTTTAAGCCACGGGTCAGCAAATGTTTTCAGCAGTCCACTGTCCCTCAGACCTTGTGGGGGGCCAGACTATATTTTGAAAAAAAATATATGAACAAATTCCTATGCCCCACAAATAACCCAGAGATGCATTTTAAATAAAAGGATACATTCTACTCATGTAAAAACACACTGATTCCTGGGACCGTCCACGGGCTGGATGTAGAAGGCGATTGGGCCGGATCCAACCCCCAGGCCTTAGTTTGCCTACCCATGGACTTTAAACTGGCTAAGCTGTAGAGCAGGCTAAGCTGTAGGACCAGAATCTTTTTGTGGGTAAAGTTACGAATGTAACTTTCCTTTATAACCCGTTATAAAGGGTATGTGAGAGTGGTGGTTTGTCTTTAACATATTTAAGAGATGGCAAAATGGTTATGCTTGCTTGTACTACTACTATTATTATTTTTAAAAATGTAGCTTGCTAGACCTGACTTTGTTGTTTGCAGATCTACACTGAAAAAGCAGCCACACATTTCTATGCATTTTTTTTTAAGTTTATAGCTGAAAATTGTTTATAGCACAATCATAAACTTTCACTTTGGTCAGTCATTGATATTTATACTTTATCCCCTACCAGGTTAGCAAAATTTGCACGAACAATATATTTAAATTTTAGGATTGTGACTCACATAGAGATTTTTTAAAAGAAACTTGTTGTATTATCTATATGTATAATAAAGACAGAGTAGGTATCTATAATATGTTGAAAAACACACACAATATAATGTTCTAGTGTGCAATCCCCCTCTGCTAAGGTATCCTCCTCTGCAATCAAAACATTCCTAAAAGATTAGCTCCTTACAAGAAGAGGAGAATGCAGCCTGTCATCATCCAGATTACAGCAAGGCAGAAGGAGACAGCCAGAGATACAGATGACCAGCACAGCCTTCAGGGTAAGGAACACATTCAGGAAGGCAAGCCCCAATGGATCAAACATGCTGGCCATGCCACATTGCCACACACTTCTGGGGAAGGTGAAAACCTATTTGCTACCAATCTATTTGATGCAATGGCAAACTGGCACTGGTCGCATTGAAATGATCACTCCTCTTTTCTGAAAGAGCTCTAGTTATGGGCCACTGCATCCACCCAAGCCTTCTAGAAGTGCAGCAAGTATGAAAGTGCATGTGTTTGCCAAATTATACATTCAAAACGTGGAAATGATCATTGCTTTCACATAAGGCCAATGGCCACAACAATCACAGTAACTCAAACTGTAACTCCCCCCAAATGATCTGCCCCAAACTCAATTCTTCATTTGGGTATACATAGTTTCCAGGTGGTGCAGTACTCTGTGGATCCTTTATCCTCTTTCTGTATGATGTGACTATGCCTCTACCATCTTCAGCACACATTGGAATACAGTGCTGAAAATTCTAAACAAGCAGCAGGAAAAATGCCATTCTTTTGACTAAGCACAAAATTGTCCTTAGTTCCCCCCATCACTTGTGGTGACAAAAATATTGTCTGTATTAGACATTATAACTAAATGGATCCCTGTGATCATAGAGAGTACATTGCTGAACACCAGGTGTCGTGAGACCACATATCAGGGAAAATATGTTGCCTTCATAGAATCATAGGAATGTCAATGGTCATCTAGTCAAATCTGCTGCCACAGCATCCCAGAAAGGTTACCATCCAGCTTCTGCATGAAAACCTCAAATGAAAGTTGATCCTTCCAGGGTGGCTTGTTCCATTGCCGAACACCTCATATAATCAGAAAATTCTTTCTAATATTTACTCAAAACCCTCTTTCTTGTAATTTGAAACTGTTGGTGTAAGTTCTACCGTCTTGAGCAACAGAAGGCAAGTTTGCTGCATCCCCCATGTGGCAGTCCTTCAAATATTTGAAAACAGCCTCTTTGTTGCCTCTTTTAAATATATACAACTGCTTCCACCTTCCTCGTAGAACATGGCCTGTCACCCACCACCATCACCCCCAAAGGACATTTTATCCTGCTTGCATCTCCAAGTAGGTCTGGGAGGGATCCCTGCGTGAAATCCTGGAGAGCCACTGCCAGGCAGTGTTGTCAGAATTTATCTATATAGACCAAATGATCTGACTCAATATAAGTCAGTGTCTTCTGCCCTGTATTCTTCCTTTTCAAGAGGATGTTTCTGACCACTGTTAGGTAAAGGACCCCTGACCATTAGGTCCAGTCGTGACCGACTCTAGGGTTTCGGTGCTCATCTCACTTTATTGGCCGAGGGAGCTTCTGGGTCATGTGGCCAGCATGACTAAGCTGCTTCTGACAAACCAGAGCAGCGCACGGAAACGCCGTTTACCTTCCCACCGGAGCGGTACCTATTTATCTACTTGCACTTTGACATGCTTTCAAACTGATCGGTTGGCAGGAGCAGGGACCGAGCAACGGGAGCTCACCCATCCCGGGGATTCGAACCACGACGTTCTGATTGGCAAGTCCTAGGCTCTGTGGTTTAACCCACAGCGCCACCCACGTCCCATAATAAAGCAGTAATTGGCCCAAAGTCACATCCAGTGAGCTTCATGGCTGAGGGGGGATTTGAACCCTGGTCTCTTCCAGGTCATAGTCCAACACTCTAACCATTACACCACACTGACCATTGTTAGAAACTGAATAAAAGGACCATTTGCTCTCAACCGGAAAACTCTGCTTCCATTTGCTTCAAATAATATTGACCTCTTTGGCTAATTAAACAATATATTGCCATTTAACTGTGTGTGGGGGGGGTGTCACTGTTTTTGTTTGTTATTATGGTATGTATTTTTGTGTTTTCATGTTGTAAACTGCCCTGTGGCTTTCAAATGAAGGGTTGTACAGAAATTGAATAAATCATCATCATCTTTGCTTGACTGAGTAAACTGAAACATACATACAGTGGTACCTCTGGTTAAGAACTTAATTCGTTCTGGTGGTCTGTTCTTAATCTGAAACTGTTCTTAACCTGAGGTACCAGTTTAGCTAATGGGGCCTCCCCCTGTTGCTGCACGATTTCTGTTCTCATCCTGAAGCAAAGTTCTTAACCCGAGGTACTATGTCTGGGTTAACGGAGTCTGTAACTTGAAGCATCTGCAACCCGAGGTACCACTGTACTAGAAATGTAAGGATGCTTAGAACTCCTGCCTAAACTTCACTGAAGTCATTTAGATGAATGGAACTTTTTAATATACAAGCATGTTAGAATAGGATGAGAAATCAGAGATAAAATATGGATGGCACTCATGTAACTCTGTGGGGCTTAAAAACTATTTCTTGGATAGTTGTTAATAATTTCAAATGTATTTCTATGGACATTCATGTGGAGTTATGAGATGTCTATTGAGTTCCCCAGAACTGGAAACAATGGGCCTCACAACACTTCTGTGGATTACAAATGAGTGCATTATGAGTACTTGCATGTACCAAACCACAAGGACTAGCTGGCACTATTTGTTCAAAAGTAGCAGAGCCAGGGACAAAAAGAAAAAGGAAAATCTATTTCCAAGCTTACTGTTCTATATACCAATTAAAACTTTGATGGACAGATCCTACTTAGGGCAAGATTTTACTTAGGTTTGAAAAGGCAGCAACTACTCAGGGAAATGATTCCTATCTCATCGCAACTTTTCAGATTTACAAAACATCCGTTTTCCATCTCTCTTGGCAGCCATTAAATTATCAGACACAGATCTCTACCAGGAGCAAGCTGTAGACAATTGTCCTCTGGTTCCAGTACTGTAGTGCAAGAAAGGGTGCCTTTGTTTACTTTCCAGATTTTGCCCTTTGTTATTGTGCCAAGACTTACCCTCCAGCCCTACCCCATGGTTCAACGAGAACGTGATAGAACCACAGCAGATTTTGGGACTAACACTAATTTTCGAGGAAAACAAAGGCTGCAGTCCCCAATGCCATCCCACAAAACTCCCCACAAAACTTCTAAAAATGTGTCACTTGTTTGTAATTTAATTGGAAAGGAATATATCCAAGTGTAGGCCTCTGAAACTTTCTGCATACATCTGCCCACCACCATCGCAGCTCACTGTAGAGTTTTAGATTAGCTTCTTACACTGCAATTCTATGCATATTTGCTCATAAGGAAATCCTACATAGCCTTTGCAATCTAAAGCAGCTATCATTTTCTAACATTAACAGAAAACTCATGAACAAATCATTGTTCTCAAACACAGAGACATGCTCATTTATTTTTGCCTCCACTTGTGAATGATAACCACTGATAATATACAGATAGAGGCAGAGAGAGATTATTGAAGATTATTGGCCTTATCATAGAATGTGACCACGGTCCTAAAGAGGCCAAGGCACACAAATGTAAATGAAACCAATTAACACATATGGGGTTGGGGGGGGGAGAGAGATCACAGCATTCACTTGGGGGGGGACTATACAACATGGTTTTTTAATAAAATAAAATAGAAAACCTCCCAATAGAACTTAAATAATAATTACAGAAACAAGGAGGACACAAACCAGTGCAACAATAGGCACTTTAGCTATTCCATCTCAAGTTCAAGGTCACTGTAATTGCCAAAGCGACAGAAAAAAAATATCATGTTCGCTCCAAGGAAACTTACACTTAAGATGTAAAGCCACACCAGCAGTTAAAAATAATTACACAATTCTGGAGCATGCAATTTTCTCTTTACAGTATTGGAAAGAACATGTAGAAGCAAGTGTGGCTATTGGGGGTAGGGGGGCAGATAGGAGCCCTGGAAATATGAGGGAGGGGAACATGAAGTACTGCCCTTGTTAGGACAGACTAGGCTATTCCAAACGAACCAACTCTTATCCCCAGTAAAAAAATGGTAACAGAAATTTAAATGATGAATGAGGAATCATAGATCCCAAACTCTGCGCTCAGAACAGATTAAAACCCCAAAAACTAAAAACAAACAAACCATCATCCAGCCCGCCAAACACAACAAACTTCTCTTTACAGTACAAAACTTACACTGAAAAGCGAATGTAGCCTGCTGAGAAGCGAGAGTGGATTCCTGAGAGCTTTCAGGCAAACGTTGGGCAAAGTTTAGGTGGGACACGAAAAACATGAGCCGCCCCTTTCAATGAACGAGCGAGTCCCCGCTGTTTGCAGCCAGCTAACTAGTGCGCGCAGAAACTTATCAGCTTCCAGATAAGGGGCGCTGTAACGTTTGTGTTTAGTTCCCACTCCTAACCAGGACGTTTTCATCCCACCCTGGAATTTTCCCGGACATTTTTTCACACGTTCAGTTTGCAGTAGTAGTAGTAGTAGTAGTAGTAGTAGTAGTAAAGTCGTGCAGTGCTCCAGTATCCGAGTGCTTACAAGCACCTTTTTATAAAGGGGGGAGGGGAGGGATAAGAGTGGGGTGGAATTTTCCTATTGAAAAGCCATGGTTGGAGAAGCCAACTCATAGGCATGGGGAAAGTGCAAAAAGGGGGAGAAAGAGACGCACACCCGTCTTGAGTTTATATAGGCACCTTCCCCCGACGAGTTAATCTTCGGATGATCGTCTTCCAGGAGAAAGCTCGGCTGTGTGTGAATCAAACAGGTTCAAGAAAGAGAATCTCCAAACAACTCCTTACCTATTTTTGTGCCGGGTCTTTAAGAGATTCCTTCCAAAAGGAGCCATGGTAGGTCCCAAAGGCAGGAGGAGATCATCAAACAGGTCCCAGAAGAAAGCTCTGGCTGGCTGGCTGGCGCGTTGCTGTCTCGCTGGCTGTTCCTGCTGCTGCTGCTACTACTCCAGCTTGTTAATAGTCACCCAGCGTCGAAGTTGTGCAACCCGTTGCTAACTTTGAACTCCTGCCTCCTTGTTTGTTGCTGCTGCTCTTCTGGAGCCCTGCCCAGCAGCCGCGATCTTGAAGGAGGCGTTTAGGAACAGGCGGGAGGAGGGGATGGGTGTCGAGAGAGGAAGGGCGAAACCCGAGGTGGAAGGGGGAATAGGAGCGATGGCGAGGGGGAGCAATGCTGCTAAACTTTCTGAGCTGCTAACTTAAAAAGAAAGAAAGCAGGATCAGTAAAACCAGAGTGTTTGGGAGCGCGGGGCAGAGGGGGTTTAACAAAGCAAAACGAAAAGCCAACTTTTTTTTTGTTGGGGGTGAGCAAGCAAGGTGGAGACCACTAAAGGATAGAATCATAGAACTGTAGAGTTGCAAAGGACCACAAGGGTCATCTAGTCCAACCCCCTGCAATGCAGGAATCGTTTGCCCAATATGAGACTTGAACCCATGACTCTGAGATCAAGAATCTCATTCTCTACTGACTGAACTACCAGATAGGATTCCGCTGGCTGCATTGATTTAGCATTGCCCTACAGTGTACCTCTGGCTGCGAATGGGATCCGTTCTGGAGCCCCGTTTGCAACATGAGCAGAACGCAACCCGCGTCTGCGTGTGTGCGGGTCACGATTCGCCGCTTCTGCACATGCACGTGATGTCACTTTGCGCATCTGCGCCTGCATGAGCGGCGAATCCTGGAAGTAACCCTTTCTGGTACTTCCGGGTCGCCGCAAGACGTATCCTGAAAGAACGTAACATGAAGTAGATGTAACAAGAGGTATGACTGTATTTTGAAAAGAAAAAAGAAAAAAAGAAGACGCTAGGACCGTATGATGGCCATTCAAAGCAAATAAATGCAATTTGTCTCAAATTTTACCCCTGAAGAAGAGGACACATCTTGGAAAAAGAGGACACATGAACATATGAACAGAGAAGATCACCTGCCACCAACTCTGTAAAGACCTTCCAAAGCCTTTAAAATAGTCTAGTCTTCTAAGTTTTTAATTCTGTCTTAAATTGTGGTTCTGTTTTATTTTTATTTTTGCTGGAGTTTGTATTGTTCTATATGTGGACTTTTGGGGAGAGGAATTTTTTTGCTCTTGGTTTTTTGTATAACTCTTGTAAGCAGACAGAAATAGAAGGGAAGATTTCTCCATGAGAGAGGGGAGAGTGGATTTGTGGAAGTATCTGTACCTTGAACACAGTGTGGTGGGAAAGATATCTCAAGCAAGTTAGGATGCAATTCTGACTCTCCCTGAGAATAAGGCCCATTGCATTCAATAGGACCTCCTTCTAGATATGATTAGTACTGCAGCCTGGGAGTAGCATCAGACATTAATAGAAATAATAGGAGTGGGAATGGGGAAATGTGTATGCTCTTGAAATTGTTACAGCATATATTTTCTTTCCCTGGGGAAGGTATAAGAGAAGAGTCCTGACTTTGAAAGTTAATTATATACTTGAATACAGGAAACATGGTTCATTCACCCTTCCTGTAGTGCCGGATTTATGTATAGGCTAAGAAGGCTGAAGCCTAGGGCCTCTAAATCTAGGGGGCCTCACCAGCCCTCCCACTCCCCAGCGAGCAGTCTCCCCTCTCCCAAAATTGCAAACCCAATAGGTAGCCAGCCATGTTGGTCTGCCGTAGTCAAAACAAAATTTAAAAATTCCTTCCAGTAGTACCTTATAGACCAACTAAGTTTGTTATTCGTATGAGCTTTCATGTGCATGTCTTCGGCCTTGTTATTTGCAGTGCTTTCTAAGGCCCATTTGACTTCACTCTCCCAGATGTCTGACTCAAGGTCAGCAACCACACTACCTGGGGTGTATGAGACATCCATATTTTTCTGGTATAATTCCTCTGTGTATTCTTGCCACCGCTTCTTGATGTCTTCTGCTTCTGTTAGGTCCTTTCCACTTTTGTCCTTTACCGTGGTGCCTCGCAAGACGAAATTAATTCGTTCCGCGAGTTTTGTCGTCTTGCGATTTTTTTCGTCTTGCGCAGCACGGTGTCGGGAAAGTTTTGGAAAAGCTTCAAAAATCACCAAAGTCTTTAAAAACCTCAAAAAAGGCTACCACACCACGTTCTATGAGTTGCTCCTCGAAGTCAAGTCGCAACTGTATTAACGGTGTTAAGAAAAAGGAAACAAACTTGCAAGACGTTTCCGTCTTGTGAAGCAAGCCCATAGTGAAAATCGTCTTGCGAAGCAGCTGAAAAAACAAAAAACCCTTTCGTCTAGCGAGTTTTTGGTCTTGCGAGGCATTCGTCTTGCGAGGTACCACTGTATTATGGTAATGTTTGTACGAAGTGTTCCTTTCATATCTCCAATTTTCTTGAACAGATCTCTGGTTTTTTCCATTCTGTTGTTTTCCTCTATTTCTTTGCATTGCTCGTTTAAGAAGGCCCTCTTGTCCCTCCTTGCTATTTTTTGGAAATCTGCATTCAATTTCTTGTATCTTTCACTATCTCCTTCGCATTTTGCTTGCCTTTTCTCTCCCCCCCCCCCCCGCTATTTGTAAGACCTCGTTGAAGAGCCACTTTGCTTTCTTGCATTTCCTTTTCATTGGGATGGTTTTCGTTGCTCCTCATGTATAATGTTACGAGCCTCCATCCATAGTTCTTCAGGCACTCTGTCCACCAAATCTAAACCCTTAAACCTGTTCCTCACTTCCACTGTGTATTCATAAGGGATTTGATTTAGATTGTATCTTACTGGCCCAGTGGTTTTTCCTACTTTCTTCAGTTTAAGCTTGAATTTTGCTATAAGAAGCTGATGATCTGAGCCACAGTCAGCTCCAGATCTTGTTTTTGCTGACTGTATGGAGCTTCTCCATCTTTGGCTGCAGAGAATATAATCAATCTGATTTCACTGCTGCCCATCTGGTGATGTCCATGTGTAGAGTCGTCTCTTGTGTTGTTGGGAAAGAGTGTTTGTGATGACCAGCTTGTTCTCTTGGAAGAACTCTATTAGCCTTTGCCCTGCATCGTTTTGAACTCCAAGGCCAAACTTGCCAGTTGTTCCTTTTATCTCTTGACTCCCTACTTTAGCATTTCAATCCCCTATAATGAGAAGAACATCCTTCTTTGGTGTCATTTCTAGAAGGTGTTGTAAGTCTTCATAGAATTGGTCAATTTCAGTTTCTTCAGCACCAGTAGTTGGTGCATAAACTTGGATTACTGTGATGTTAAAAGGTCTGCCTTGGATTCGTATCGAGATCATTCTATCATTTTTGATATTGCATCCCCGGACAGCTTTTGCCACTCTTTTGTTGACTATGAGGGCCACTCCATTTCTTTTACGGGATTCTTGCCCACAGTAGTAGATATGATGGTCAGCTGAACTGAATTCACCCATTCCAGTCCATTTTAGTTCACTGATGCCCAGGATGTCAATATTTATTCTTGCCATCTCATTTTTGACCACAACCAACTTACCAAGGTTCATGATTCTTACATTCCAGGTTCCTATGCAATATTTTTCTTTACAGCATTGGACTTTCCTTTCGCTTCCAGGCGTATCTGCAACTGAGCGACCTTTCGGCTTTGGCCCAGCTGCTTCATTAGCTCTGAATCTACTTGCATTTGTCCTTCACTCTTCCTCAGTAGCATGTTGGACGCCTTCCGACCTGAGGGGCTCATCTTCCAGTGTCATAACTTTTATATGCCTGTTGTCTTTGTCCATGGAGTTTTCTTGGCAGGGATACTGGAGTGGCTTGCCAGTTCCTGCTCCAGGTGGATCACGTTTAGTCAAAACTCTCCACTATGACCTGTCTGTCTTGGGTGGCCCTGCATGACATTGCTCATAGTTTCTCAGAGTTATTCAAGCCCCTTCGCCATGACAAGGCAGTGATCCATGATATTACTAAAGTGCAAAGTTACTTTTAAGGCCCCTTCCAGTGTCTCCTGAGAAACATGAGAGCCTTGTGTTTGTATTTCTTGTACTGCCACAACAACATAGCAATGTAGCATCTCTCCATGCCAGCACTTCCCAAGCATCATGGGGGTCAACACTAGTGTGGGAGGCAGGCACATTGCTGGATCTTCCCACGTAGCCTGGTACTTCCAACATGACAGCAGTGGAATGAAAAAGAAAGGACACTCCTGCAGCTCCTATGCATGCTATTCAAGTATTTATCAAGAATATATATGATTTTTTTCCCATTCCATCAAAGCACTTGTAACCAACTATTCATTTTTAAAGCTCTAAGAACAGCTTACAAATCAACAAAAATAAGACAATCTAAAAAGACATGTCACAAAAAGAAAATGGATGGTGAGGGAAGAGGAAAACAAACTCAAATATCAAATTATTGATGTTTTCAATGACCAATTTGAATGAAAACTAACTGTTCACAGTTAAAAACAAAACCGGCCTTGTCAACCCCTGAGAAAAATTAAACAAAACATGATGACTGTACCTTACTGGACTGGTAGTGTGGCAACCATTTTTCATTTTTCACAGTGCCCCAGATCTAATGTTATTACAGAACATTGCAGAGAAGAATGACAGTTGACACACAAATATTTAGAGAGCATTTGGCAAAATGTCTGCAGGTTGTTTGCTTATTTTTGGAGGTGGGTAGTGAGAAAAAGATGAATTTTATTAAAAAAAAAAAAAAACCCCCAAGAAATTTCAAGTCAGCTCTAAATGCAATGTAAACATTTATGGCATGAAAATATGGACACACAAAACTCCCAAGTCAGCTTTGTGACACAAATCTAAAGTACCCCTGAACAAGAAAGTCATCTTTCCCTCTAAGGCAGGTGTCAAAAAAGCAGGCAACCAGCTGTGTATTATGCATCCAGCCTATACAGGATCTCACCGTTATCCCCATCAACTCTAGGGGAGATGACAGCAGATTGACAGAAACTGAAATTACCTGTGAGAGGCAGTGTGGAAATGAGATATAGAGGACAAATGAACAGGTGTAAAAACCCATCAAATGAGGGTGTTGTGCATCTTCTTTAATCATTTTTACACATCACAGACATAAAGAGTTAGAAGGCAGCTTTGATAATTTTGGGTATGTTTTACTATTTTATCTCTTATGCTTTGTTGGTATTATTATTCTTTCTGACACTTTAACAGAGTCCTATAGTGCAGGGACTGTGCAAAAAGCTTTAAATTAGAATCCCAATTCTTTTCTCCTGTTACTCTCTCATTGAAGGAATGGGGAGGGTCATGAGGCACATTCTGCCTTTTTAACATTATGGGCTGCTTTGCTCACTGACAAGTGAAAAAAATGAAAAAAAATAATAACATAATTTGCATGAAGATAATAACTTGGAAGTCAATTGTGATGCTCTAACAACAACCTATATTTTCCTCCTCTCACCTCCCCCATATAGAAGGAAGAGTTTTCCTTGTCAAATTTTTGTAAATTTGTGAAACAGCCATGAATGATGGCAAAAAAAATGAGTGCCAGCATCATCCCTCATGCTGCTATAGTGGCTATCTCAATCAGCCTATCTAGTTCAGCATTTCGTTTTTTTAAAAATGTGT